GGAAGATAGGGATGAATTGAGTAAAACATTTACAAATTCTATGAGGTGATTTTTTTTGGGGAGAGGTACCAGGGATTGAACTCAGGGGCACTCAACCACTGAACCACATCTCCAGCCCTATTTTGTATTTTATTTAGATACAATGTCTCACTGAATTACTTAGCACCTCCCAAGCTGCTGGGATTATAGGCGAGCATCACCACACCTGTCTAAATTCTGTGTTTCATCTTAATATTGTATGCATTTTCTTAAAAAATGTAGTATAGGCTTTCTTATTTTAAATAATTTCATAAGTGGGAGATCCTCAAATTATTTTATAGAATTATTAGAGAATTACAACAGTAATCTGATTAAGCTTATCCCTCTTATATCATGTATCTTTTTGTTTTTTCAGAGAGACTCATAAAATAAGAAAATTTTTTTCTCTGTTAAAAACATGTATGGAGAGTAGGACACTAAGGTTTTATAAGAGTTTATCTTATTTGTGTCATTTAGAGAGAAGTGCTTCTTAATTTAGAAATGTATGTGTACATTTTTAAAATTGAACATACTTTTTGAACTATTTGAGAGTTGGTTGCTTATATGCTACCTAATGACCCCCAAATACTTTATTATATGTTTTCTAGAAAAACATTCTCCTGCATAAAATTAACAGTGATAATTACTAATTCTCAGGCTCTATTCAGGTTTTACCAGTTGTCCCATATTTCTTATAGCAGAAAGATCCAGATTTGCACATTTTATTTTGTTGTTATGTTTTTTTCCTTAAACCTGGGGAGATTCCTCAGTCTTTGACATTTATGATCTTAAGAACTTTGAAGGCTAAGGCTAGTTATCTTGTAGAATGTCAGTAGTCTGGGTTTGATGGTTCATGCTTAGATCCAGGTTCTTCATCTTTTTTTTTTAATATATAGATATTTTTACTTTTATTTGTAGATGGACACTGTGCCTTTATTTTATTTATTTATTTTTTTCACGTGGTGCTGAGAACTGATCCCCTTACCTCTCATGTGCTAGGCAAGTGCTCATCACTGAGCCACAACCCAGAAGCCCCAGGCTCTTCATCTTTTTTTTTTTTTAATAGCAGATGGACACAATATCTTTATTTGTTTTTATATGGTGCTGAGGATCAAACCCAGTGCCTCACATGTGCGAGGCAGGCACTCTACCACTGAACTACAATCCCAGACCCAGGTTCTCCATCTTTAGTGGCGTTATTGCAGAAATGGTGTTGCATTTTTTACATTGTATCCTGTAGATGGTACACAGTTTTGACTTATCCCATTACTGTTGTCCACTTGGATTGGTTAAGATGATGGTCTATTGAGCATGTGTGGCGGACTTGTTTTCTTTACAGTTAAGTGTTTTGAGGGGAGATACTTTGAAACTTGATAAAAATTACTCATTCCTCATCAGAATGAATTCCTGGGCTTATTCAGTGGATTAAAATCCAGTACTCTTATTTATTTTGATGCTCATGTTGTCCCAGACTTCATCAGTAAAAGCCTTTTACATTGGCTTTTGTGTTTCTGTGACATGTTTACATGATTCTTTGAACATTTCCTTTCCTTTTGGTAAAAGGATGTTTTAGGTTCATCTTGTCCCTGTCCTTGCCCTGGAATCAGCTATTTCTACAATGTATTTTAGAATCCTTAGTGGAGAATGATACTTAACTTTTATTTTGGTGGGCAGGGAGTACCAGGGATTGAACCCAGGGGTGCTTAACCACTAAGCCACATTCCCAGCCTTTTTTGATATTTTATTTTGAGACGGGGTTTTACTGAGTTGCTAAGGGCCTCACTGAGTTGCTGAGGCTGCTTTCGAACTTTTGATCCTCCTGCCTCAGCATCCCAAGCCTCTGGGATTGCTGGTGAGTGCTATTGAGCCTGGCAAGAATGATATTTAGAAACCAAGATCTGGGTGTGTTCATTGCTATTGGAGTGTTGCTGATTTCAGGTCCTTTCACTGTGTAGTCCTAAGAAGTATATGTAAATGTGTCTGTGTGCGTCATACTCATTTATATCTTTTATATACTCATTTATATCTTTCTTCTGTCTAGAAAATTGGGGTCACACTAGTACCTCCAATTCCAATCAACACTGAAGTTCCATTCTAGTTTTCTTTCTTTTCCTTGTTTGTAATTTCCTTCTCTGACAATGAGAAACTTGTCTCATCCTTGGTCATTCTCTTGTATATAACCACTCTCCTACCCATTCCATCCCATTGGGGCTCCAACGCCCTGCCTCAGCCTTTTGTTGTATGTACCCTGCCCTCTACTGCTCTCAACTGCAACATATCATGTCAGTATACTTCAGCATCCCTGGAGTCTCCCATACCTCATGCAGGCTGTCCCTCCTCCAAGTGGATGTCCTCTTTTACCACCTCTGACTTCAGCTTCACATATAGGGCTATCCATATTGCCTGGGCTCTGACAGCCTGCATTGGCCTTTTGTCTACTCTATCCCAGGCCTTTAGATTAAAAATTTAAAAAAAAAATAGAGTGGATGTTTTCTCTCATGGAATTGGAAGTGTCTGGGGTTAAAAGTACATATAGTCCACAAATTCATCAAACCTACAATTGTAGAACCCTCTACTGAGAGCTAGGCTGCTGGGGTTAGGGCAGGAACTAGACCAAGTTCCTTCTTATGAAGCTGCAGTCTCAAATGCTGACTGTTTAGGCTTAGATAAATTAGTAGCTAATTAATAACCTTTCTAAATCTGTTTTTTTCATATGCCAAGTGGAAATGGTAATTTTGCTCTTGGGGTTGTTGTGAAAATTGAATAATGCATGAAAATATCTAGCTCTTTGTTAGATACTGTCATAATAATCACAGAAATAATATATAAGTACCTCAGCTGAGATATTGTTTTTACATTTATTTTAATAATTTGAGAGGAAGCCAAAAATTCCTGTCAGGGAAAATGACATCTACTCTTTGAATTATTTTTTTCTTTTGTTCTAGTTTTATCTAGGAATGTGCACATTAGTTAAAGTTCATGTGTGTATCCTCTTTCCGAGTCTCAGAATATAAAACAAAGTGCAAATAACTAAACAGAATGGCATTTGCTTACATATTTTAATTGGGTGACATTCTAATAGATGGACCTTCATTGGTCCTGAGAGACATGGTATGTTGTTCATATATTTAGAACACAACTAATGAGGAGGTAATTATGATGCATTATTAGAAGAGAGAATATTTTATTGCATTGTATTTAAGTTACAGAGTGACTTTTTCTGTTTTCTAAGGGAGGGTGATGACTTAATGTTAAATTACATTTTTATTTTAACTTTTATTAGTTGATAGTCTTTGAACCAAATAATGATTGCTTTGAAACTGATAGATCTAGTAATTTCTATGTTACTGTATTAGTGCTGTCAGTTTAAATGAATATAACATATGACATGTAAAACTCTAGAATAATATTTGTCCTGGAAAGAATATCTTTTATCATGAGGACAATAAAAAAGTATCTCTAATGTTTGCTTTTGTTATAGTACTCTTTTTTTTTCTGACAAAGCATAGATTTATTGAAGGAGAAAATAATACTCCATAAAGCAGAAGTGGTAGGGGGAGAGGGGGAGGGCAGATGAGAGAATCTTGCAATACACTTATAGAGGCAGTATTTAGGGGAAAGCAGTTATATTTTATTTTATAAAATGTAATTAAATCTGTGATGTTTTAAATGTTACTTACCATTGGAGGTCAGAAGTAACTGTTTTATAAACATGAAACACAATAATACTAGAAACTCTGGGAATGCAGAATGAAATACCATTCCCAATACCATTAATAGTAGCTTGGTGAAATTTTCCCCACTCTGGGTGGTTAGGTAAAAGCCCACACTTAATTATGAACGTATTACAGAATTGTGACATTATCAATTCATGGAGAGATTGAGTCATTTAGTCTTATCCAGTGCTGCCAACTCATAGAGCACAACTCATTGGAAGGCAGAAGTGAGTTCACTAGAAAGTGGGCTTATGAGTAGATGGTCTGAAAAGCAGTGAGGCAGACAAGGAAGGTGAGATGTTCTGAAATCTGGAAAAAAATTTCAGGGAAAAGTAGGAGTGCCAAATTGCAAGGAATATTGGACAAAGCAGTAGACATGGAAGGGCTCTTTCATTGGCAAAAAGAGACTGGAAATGGAATGTCAGATGGATCTACTTCCATGATTTTCTAACGTGGAATACATGAATGATGCCAAAGGTACTGTTTTTATGTTGTAGATGAAGGACATAAGAGGAAATTAGTAAGTCTAAGAAAGAAGCAGTAAGCTCTGAGAGAATCACTCAGCCAAGAAGTGAACTGAGCATGGGATGAGGGACAGAAAAAGGAGGGCAGTAGAGAAGGACAGGACCTCAGAAGGAAAAGGAAAAAAGAGGATCTCACCTGAATTGTCAGCTTTAGAATGTATTCTTTCTAATTGTTCTTTGATATACTAGCTGTAGTTCATATTTCTTTGTAACATTTTTAATATATATTTGCTAAGTACTAGGAAGGTTTTTCCTTTAAAGTTTTCTGATTTTTTTTTTTCTTGGAGGGGTGGAATTTTTTTTTCTCTCATTAAAACAGCCACAATAACCTGCCCTAGGTAAATTATTTTGTGGGTTATACTTATTAGCAAGATACCATGAATTTTATTGCAGAAAACAATCAGATGAACAGCAGGTTTGAGATTTCCTTATTCCTATACTGGACTGTGTGGTGAAGTATTGCCTATAGCTTTCATCATTTCAATGTTTTATCAGTTTTCTAAGTGTCCAGTTCTAAGTATCAGGAACAAAAGGATGAATAAAATAGTTCAGGTCAGTGGGAAAGGATGGATTAATTTATTATATGGTGCTGAAATAATTTGACTGAGTTATGTTACTAGTTGGAGAAATATTTCATATGCTTATATTAATATCAGATTTAGAAATTTTTGCTTGAAACCTACTTTATAGCTAAATACAATCTAATGTTTCTTGTCATTTTTCTTTAAAACTTCTGTTCTAGCATCTGCAGAAAAAGAGGCAATCAAAGGTACATACTCCAAAGTACTAGATGCTTATGGACTCTTAGGTGTTTTGCGGTTAAATCTTGGTAAGTTTGTTGTTCAATATAATTCATCCACATTTTTTATTTCTAGTTTTATAATTCTAAGAATTTGAGAGAGACTACTTTTATGTCATTTAACTCTATAATGGAGCTATAAGTGTGATAACATCTTTTAAACCTTAATTAAGCTACTCTTATTATATTTTTGCCAAAAAAAAAAGCTTGCTAATTCTCAAGCTACTTTGATTTTAAGTTCCAGAGATGGTTTCCTGTTTCAACATGTTAAGAGAAAATCAAAGCATTTTTCTTTTCTTGGCTTCATTGTATTTAGGAAACAAGTGTTTTTATTGAACCACAAACTTCTTGGTGTAGTGGATTCAAAGGTCTCAGTTTGGGCCTATGTCTGCCACTTAATGTGACCATAGACTGTAGAGTAACCTTTGTGTTAGTTTGTCCATGTTAGTCATGGTGTGACTTGAAGTATGGGCTATTACTGGTCTGTGAGTGAGAAAGGAGCTTACACTGTCATATAAATCCAACATATGGCTTCCTTCACTGATAAAGTCTAGTGAACTATGAAGAAAAGAGTCAGTTAAACTAAAGGGTGAATTTATTGATATTGGAATTTTTTTTTTTTGATACCCAGGATTGAACTCAGGTGAAGATCACTCAATCACTGAGCCATATACCCAACCCTATTTTGTATTTTATTTAGAGGCAGGGTCTCACTGAGTCGCTTAGCGCCTCACCATTGCTGAGGCTGGCTTTGAACTCATGATCCTCCTGCCTCAGCCTCTCAAGCCACTGGGATTACAGGTGTGTGCACCGCACTTGGCACAGATGTTGTTGATTTCCCTTCTGTACAGGCAACTTTTTTTCATTGTGTGCTGTTTACAGTTTCTGGATCATGCTTTGAGTAGCATTGGTCTATAAAATGGAGATTTGTCTTTTGTTATTAATAAATTATATATAAAGCATTGTGCATAAGTGCATCGCTAATTTTAAGTAATCCTGAAGTATATGTTTTAATCCCTGTTTATAAGGGATTATATCTCAGGTTGGTTAGGCTCATGTACTGAAGTTGGCCTAGAAAATAAATCATAGAGCCAAGATTCAGAGCCACTTCTACCTATGTCAGAGATTGTGCTTAGAATACACCTTTGCTAATTTATAACTTCATACTAATTTCATAGGATTTTGTTCTAATTAAATAAAAAAAGTCTATGAATGTTTTTATAAACTAAATTGCTTTCTGTCCATATATCATCACAAGCAGCTCAAATTTATATACTACTTTTCCACCTTTACTGTTCACAAAGAACTTTCACATTCATTTTCTCATCTGAACTTTCTATCATAAGATATTTTAAAAATATTTTTTAGTTATACATGGATACAATATCTTTATTTTGTTTATTTTTATGTGGTGCTGAGGATCAAAGCCAGTGCCTCACTTGCGTGAGGCAAGCACTCTGCCACTGAGCCACAACCTCAGCCCTAGAAAAGATATTTTTTATTTGATAGATTTTATAGGCTCAGATTAAGTAGAGGAACAATTTTGTAAATGTGAGCTTTTCCTGTTAATATTTAAATGCTTATTATAAAAATGTATTTAAATAAGGATTTTTCCCAACTAAAAAAAAATCTAGTGAGTTTAAACATGTTCATTACAAGTTTAGAATAATCACAATATCAGATTTTAAAAATGGAAATACAAGAAGAAAAAAGAACTTGAAATAACATAAAAATATTGGAATTTTTCATCCAGTAAAATCTTTGGGTTTTGCAGGTGATACTATGTTACATTATCTGGTCCTAGTCACTGGATGTATGTCTGTTGGAAAAATTCAAGAATCTGAAGTTTTTCGAGTTACTTCCACTGAGTTTATATCTCTTCGAGTTGATGCTTCAGATGAGGATCGTATTTCAGAAGTGAGAAAAGTTTTGAATTCAGGAAACTTTTATTTTGCATGGTCTGCTTCTGGAGTCAGTTTAGATCTGAGTCTTAACGCACATCGAAGCATGCAAGAACACACAACTGACAACAGATTTTTCTGGTGAGTCTATGTTTCATTTTTTCCCCTTTTTAATCATGTGCTGTGCAACAACTTGGTCTTTGTGGTCATGATATCCATCAATTGCTGTTTCTGGAGATAGCAAGGGATGAACTCTACTGATTCTTCTTTTCTGCTTCTGAGTCCTCAACAGAGCACTTGTGGCACGTAGCGACTGTCAGTTTATTGAAGTTGGCATGTGACATAAAATTCATTTTCTCTCCTGATCCTGACTGACCTTTCATTTTAGAATAGACTTAAAATATTTGTTATAAATTTGGGGATGACTTTAATGGTAATAAAATTGTGTTACTCATATTTACTGTTCTTAGTAAGCTCTTGTCTGGCATTTTCATCATTCTAAATCAATATTCTCTTATATTTTCAATTTTAAGATTGTAAGTAGATGACTTCAATTCAAGAGCAACAGATTGTGAAGAAAAGTCCAGTACTGTAGTAAATAAAACTTACATATGTAGCTAACTGTGATATATTACATGATGGTGCATAACTGTGCGTAGTTATCAATAAGCATGAATAGTAAATAGAACACTTCCATTAGTATGGCTCTATGTAGCAGACCAGACTTCTAGTATAGTAGCTCTATTGTCTACAGCCAGCATTGACCTTGATGTTTCTCCTTAATGCTTTATGCAGATTTTATTTCATTATATTGACATATGCTATAAGGCCAAAGCCCCAGACTCTCTGCTCTTGGCCTTCCTTAGTAGTTCAGATTCAAGACATTTTCTCCTATGTATTTTCTCCCCCTCACACTTTACCATCACTCTATGGTCTTTGAGTAGTGCATTCAGGTATGATCCATTTGCTTTGGCTTTCAGGTAGGTCAAAATCTACCACAGCCTTAGGGAAGGAAACTAACTCATAGCTTACGTGAAAGGGTCTTGACACAGGGGAGCAGAGAAGGCAGAATGAATCAAAGCTTTATAGCACTGTCTATAGCAAAAGAGGAGACTTGAGTGATGGGAAAGAAGAGATAAGTAGTTGTGGAGGGGTTAATAGAACAGTTGAATGGACAGAAAGCCCTCTTGGCTCAGAGATGCTAGTGATGATGGATGTATTTTGGTCTATCATTCAGAAATAGGCAAGAGTTAAAACTCTGTCAATCTTACATTTTTTTTTCTGGCTAAAGACATTGAAGTCTTTTGGAAAAGGTAAATGTGTTGCAGCTGTGCATTGGGCAGCTGTTGTTACCTTTTTGGTCCCTCCTTATTCCTGTCCCAAACTACTTAGATTGAGAGAAAAATGCTTTCCTGCCACCTCAGGGAGCCAAGCAGTTGCAGATAATATACAACTTTAAAGTTTAATCAGTAGGAGTAATTCATTTATGTTTTCATTCAATTAAGGATGGAGATGGGTACAAATTTAGATCACAGAAAGTCTGAGGGTTTTGTCCAGTAGGAGACAGGTTGAACAAAGGGATGGCTAAAATACCAAAGGTGAAGTTTCCTTGTTTTACAATTTTTATTATTTTGCTAAAGATTTCCATGTGAATTTTATTTTGCATAGAAAAATCAAAGTTTTTAGAATTGATTCTATACCCTAACAGCTTAGTGTAAATATTTTTCAGGATCAAGTAATATTTGTATCTAAAGAGTGCCAAATATCTACACAAAAACAAAGTAGTTTTATTTACCATTGGAGATTTTTTTGTATGCGATGCTGGGGGTGGAATCCAGGACCCTACCTATGCTAGAGTAGGCAAATGCTCAATCACTAACCTACACTTCCAGCCCCTTCATTGGAGATTTGAAACTGCTGCCATTCTGGATTTCAATAGAATTTAGAGAGTGACACACTGATAGTAAAGAAAAATGAGAACTCACAGCAGAGGAAGAAACTCTACCGGTATGAAACACATAAGGTTCAATGACTACTTAAATGATTGCAAGAGAGTCTCTTAACTTAATAGCATGACATAGCTATCAGCCCTGGTGCCTTGGGTGTTCTGGGTCACACTCAACATTCACACTCAGGTGAATGTAAGTATTAGTGAAATATGAATCCTAAAGTCATTGTATTCATTAAATAAGTAATGGTCATCAGATTTAATATTATCCCAGTAGTAATCTCATGACTCATTTACATTTAGTGTACTTTCTTAAGTGGACAAAAGGGGTTTGGGTTGCAGCAGTTGTACCTGTACCTGTAGCGGAGGGCAGGGATTTGAGGACAACCAAGAACTACTACTGTTCTTGTCTCTTATTTTATTAATAACCGTAAGTCTTCAAGCAAATGCTATTACATTTGTTTATCTAGTTTAAGATGGCAAGCTAATGTATAGCCCCTTAAGAAAGGTTTCTGCCTAAAATGGTAGCAGAGTTTTAAAATTCAGAATCAAATTTAGTAATACAGAAAATTCACTTTTGAATTGAAAGAGGGTTTCTTGTTTTTCTTCTCGAAACACTTGTTTTTTCAAAACATTTTTCTTAATGTTTGGTTGGAGTCTTTCGTATTAGTTCTAAGGAGGACTGAGGTTTCAGTAGAGATCTGAGTAGTGACCAGCAGGGTGAGAAAGCCAATCTGGAAGTAGCATTAGCCCTGCTCCCTGCTTTAATTGCTTTTATCTATTTGTTTGGATAAACTATTCCCCTGCAAAAGTTTATAAATCAGGCTCCATCTGCTACCTACAATTCTAAAAATATTTGGAGTGGACTGCAGGGGTAGATTAGTGGTAGAGTGCATGCCTGGCATGCATGAGACCCAGGGTTCTATCCCCCGCGCTCACAAAAAAAAAAAAAAAAAAAGTATTTGGGGCAGTGGAAAACACTATGCCTACACCACAGTGGTACTGTTTAGTATGGCATATTTAAATTAATAGAGCCTTGTTAAAGTTGAGTCTGTGAATACAGCTTTATAAAGTGGGGTATGTATGTACTAGATTTTGAAATGTTAGGTTATTTACATTGTACATAAAGATATAACAAATGGAATGTAGATGTAAAACAAAAAATGATTTCCTGGGGCTGGGGCTATGGCTTAGCGGTAGAGCACTTGCCTTGCATGTGCAAGGTCCTGGGTTCAATTCTCAGCACCACATAAAAATAAATAAATAAAATAAAGTTATTGTGTACAACTACAAAAAAATAAATATTAAAAAAATGATTTTCCTCAGTACATGTAATGGATTGAATTATTTTGTTGCCTTTTAATTTAATAACATTATTGTTTAATGTTAGCACTGCTCAGTAGTATTGGGAGCACTGTTTTAATATTTGTACTTTGTTATTTAGTACTCAGTTGCCTAATGCAGTTATTTCCTTTTCTGTTAGGAATCAGTCTTTGCATTTGCATCTCAAGCACTATGGTGTGAATTGTGATGACTGGTTATTACGTCTCATGTGTGGGGGAGTGGAAATAAGAACAATTTATGCTGCTCATAAACAGGCAAAGGCTTGCCTCATTTCAAGATTAAGCTGTGAACGAGCTGGGACAAGGTTTAATGTCCGAGGGACAAATGATGATGGTCACGTCGCCAATTTTGTAGAAACAGAACAGGTATGTACAGTTTATATTGCTTATCAATGTGTTATAGGAGAGGCACAGATAATACTAGGATAACCGATTTTTATTTGAGACAGAACTCATTTTGACATCTGAAATCTCATCTATGGTATAATTGGCAACTTTCTAGGGAAGGCTTCCCTAAAACAAAAAAAAAGACTTCTTTTGGTATGACTCTTCAAATAGTTAACAAGTTATTCACTAGCTAGCATGGCACAGTCAGTGGTGTACATTTGATATTGAATTAAAATCCTCAATTATAGAGCTAGACAAGAATATTTTTTATGCAGTTAAACCCAACTCTTAAAGATAAATATGTGTACTACCTAAAAATTAAAAATTACATTTTTGCCTGTAAAACCATATAATTATAAATTCAGGCCATGTACCAGTCCAACTCAGATCTATCAAATTAAGTATTGAGAAATATAAAAAGCTAAGGAAGCTACCCTCAGTGTCAACATACCCATAATCCCAGCTACTTGGGAGACTGAGGCTGGAGGATCTCAAGTTTGAGGCTAGCCTGGGTAACTTAGTGAGACTGTATTTCAAAATAAAAATTTAAAAAGGCTGGGCATGTAGCTCTGTAGTAGAATGTGCAAGGCTCTTTCTTTGTTTACCAGCGGATAGCACTGCAAAAGGAAAAAAAAGCTAAGGAAAACAATTGAAGGAAACAAAAGTATGTATGTAAAATTCTGAGATTTAAAAGGAGGTTCTTTTTATTATTTGGATGATTAATATTATTAAGGAAAAAATCAAACTTATTTAGAGACATATTTTGGATACTTTGATTAGGACAAATTATGAGAGATAAGTTATAAACTAAAAATGTGCAACAGATTGTAGTAACTTTGTTTTTCTGATACAGAGGTAATAACCTCACCACCTGTGAAAACATACATTGCTGTTGTTGTTGTTATTTTCTTTCCTTTCGGCAGGTTGTGTACTTGGATGACTCTGTTTCTTCCTTTATACAAATTCGGGGATCTGTTCCACTGTTCTGGGAGCAACCCGGGTTGCAAGTATGTTTGCCATTCAATTTTTATTATTTTTTTCTCTTAAAAAATTTCCATATTCTCTAAATTTTCAGGATAGTTAATTAATTCACTAATTATTCTATTCCATTTAATAATGTTAGCTGGTTTCACAATTGAGGATCTGAGAAGTGTCTTGTCTTGGATATTTTTTCTTTTAATGCTCTTTCAAATAGTGCATTAGTTTTGTGTTTCTGTCATGAAATACCTGAAGCAGGCCAACTTTATAAAGATAAGAGGCTTATTTTGGCTAATGGTTGGGAAGGCTGAAAGTCCAATATTGGGCAGCCCTATTGGTTCAGCCTCTGGTGAAGGCCTAATGTTGGATGGCATTGCCTGTGGGAGCATGTGTGGGAGAAAGAGATCACGTCTGGGAAAAGGAAGCCAGAGGGAGATTCTGATGTGGCTCAGGCTTTTATGACCACCTGCTCTCACAAGAACTCACTCCAGGAAGCCAGCATTCCTTTCTGAGGTAGCTCCCAATAACTTAAGGACTTTCCATTCTAGACTCCACATCTTAACAATTCCATACCATCTCCCAATAGTGTCACCCTGGGGACCAAACTTCTGGCACATGAACCATTGGGGGACAGACCATATGCAAACCCTACTAAAATCCAGCTGCGTATTTCATTTTAAAAATTTAGATGTTTGCCGGGCGTGGTGGCACACACCTGTATCACAGTGGCTTGGGAGATGGGAGGCTGAAGTAGGAGGATCATGAGTTTAAAGCCAGCCTCCGCAAAAGCTAGGCAGTAAGCAATTCAGCGAGACCCTGTCTCCAAATAAAATGCAAAATACGGCTGGGGATGTGGCTCGGTGGTTGAGTGCCCTTGAGGTCAATCCCCAGTACCAAAAAAAAAAAAAATTAGGTTTTTATAGCACATTGATTTTCACAGTGTTTACATATTTATTATCTTACTGTGTTAGTATATAATAATATAATCTTCAGGCAGAAGCATGTAATAGTTAAAGCTTCAATACTGGCTTTTCAACCAACATACTTAACTCTATTGCTATAAGCTGTGTGATTTTTGAACAAGAGATTTAATTCCTGTCTCAGTTTCCTTATATATAAAACAAGAATAATATTAAAACCCTTCATAGGGTTGTTTTAAGGACTAAATGAAAAACACTTAGAAGAGTGCCTGACACAGTCAGCAACATGTCAGGATTAGCTATTGATGCTATCACCAATAATGTATCTGCTAAAGGAATTTTACTTGGTAGTCTGTGATGACGATCATCTTCAGCATGTTTTCTGACTTGCTTTCTGATAATTTTTAAATCTCCTTTGCTGATCTTTGTAACATTTTTTAAAAATATAAGGTCATAATACCAAATTTCATCCAATAGTACAATCTTAATATTTTAACTCACAAATCCTTATGCCTAAAGAATAAATCATAAACATTTTAGGCTTCTAGGTATGTATAATCTAGTAAGTTTTGTACCTTAGCATATAGCATCAAGAAAAGGAATAGAAAAGGATCTTACCCTGGACCCCTAGCCCAAGTCAGTGTTTCTCACAATTATTTAGCTTAGCAGTTTTTAAAGTCAACCTTCCTTTGAATAGGAATGGATTCTTGTCTTGATTGTTTTTTATACCAAAGTAGTTTTTGCTCCATTCTAAAATAGTAGGTAAAAAAGGAATGAAAATATATGACTATTTTTAAAGATTATAAAAATAGATAATTGATTTTAAAAATATTAAAATGCCAAGTCCAAAGATTAATTGTTTCATAGAAGGCAAACAAGTAATCTGTTAACCTAGGGTGGCTTTTAATGGATAGTAGGTGTTTTATGTGTTCTCAGAACTGAAATTTATTCTAAGGGATCTTTGAATTTAGTGTTGACTAGTGAAATGTCCCACTTTAGTAGATAGAGAATCCTTAGGCAATTGTTCTTTGTCTTGCATCTTTTTAATTAATTCCCCTGTGGCTTTTTAATCAAAAGGTTAAAAGTATCATCCGAAGTGGTGATAAAATGCAGATTCACAACTCAACTTTAGATCATCTAAAAGCAGAATCTGGAATGCATTTTTAAGCAAGTGCCCTTCCATTCAGAGTCAAGAACTTCTGTTGTACACCATCTTATTGTAATAGTCTGAATCAGCTGGTCCTGTAATACTTTGCCCTAGCATTCTCCAAGGCTTTGGGACTTTGTATTTATTTTACTCCTTTCATCTCACTTAAGGTCTCATAATTTCTTTGGACCCTGAAGATTCTTACAGTTTTCTAACCAATCTCATCTTTCTAGACTCTGTTTCTGGTTACCTTTCTGACACTTCTTTTTAATTTTTGATGTATTAGGCTTCACATATATATATACCCGAGACCTACCTCCTCGTAATCTGGTTTACTCTACCTATTCTACTTTATGCTTTGCTGTTTTCTAACAGGAATCTTCTACTTCCAAAAGTAAGATGTGTTGTCCTTCAACATCCAACTCAAATCTCATTTGAATAACTTCTAATCACTCATCCATGCTGATCTCTCTAGTTAATAATTAAGTTCTTCTAGTATGTATTATTTTATACTAGTTGCTATGAGAGATTCAAAGCCCATAACACTTTCCAGTTTGCAGTCTGTTCCTTGAGACTTTTTATAGAACTGGTAACTATCAGAATGAATTCTTTTGAGGCATTATAAAGTTGTAAAAAGTGCTTCATAAGTAAGAATATATTTTAAGTGTTGGCAAACTACTCTGTTACATTACAGTTTATAAAGTCTTAAAAGATAAACATGATGAATTTTTTTCTCATTTAATGCCATGTGATTGATTTTTGGTTGAAGGTCAGAAATATAAGAACATTAATAATGAAAAATTATAACAATTAAATAATAATGCAATAATAATGAAAAATGATGTTCCATATCATCCAGTTAAAAATTTAAAAGTACATCTTTGATGCAACCTTTTCTTTTTAGGTAAATTCATTGTTATTTGAAAGCCTTAAAAATTTCTGGAATGCCAGACGTGGTAGCACATACCTGTAATCCCAGCAACTTGGGAGGCTGAGGCAGGAGAATTGTAAATATGAAGCCAGCCTCAGCAACTTAGTGAGGCCTTAAGTAACTTAGCAAGACTCTGTCTCAAAAATAAAAAAGGGCTAGGGCTGTGGCTTAGCGATAAAATACCCCTGGGTTCAACCCCCAGTACAAAAATAATAATAATAATAATAATTCTGGAGTATCTCTTTTATCACAATTTATATTAGCTCTTTTATTACGGAATTTTTCCTTTAACAATAAGTAATAAAACCCAGTCTAATTAACCAATCTATTGCTATCAGAGCTGTGATATCCACCTACAAGTATCTGTGTGTTGGGATGGTGGGGAACAACCACAGGCATTAATTAAAAACATGAGAATTTATATTTTTTTCACCTTATTGATAATTACAGTGTTATGCAAGATAAATATTAAACAATAAAAAAATGCTATGTCTTAAACTTTTGTATATGTATAGGCAGTTAACCTGAGATCATGCTAAAGAGAAGGTGTCAACTTTTGCTGAGTTTTCTCCAGTTTAAAATATTTAATCTCCTGAGGCACACATTTTTCTTTTCTTTTTTAAAAATGTTTTATTTTAGTTGTAGGTGGACACAATATCTTTATTTTATTTATATGGTGCTGAGGATTGAGCCCAGGGCCCCACACAGCTCTACTGCTGAGCCCCAGCCCCAGCCCTAAGGCACACATTTTTCTTTTCTTTTAATATTTTTTGGCTGTTGATGTACTTTTTAAAAATTTATTTATTTATATGTGGTTCTGAGGATTGAACCTAGTGCTTCAAACATGCTGAGGCAAGTAGTCTGCCATTGAGCCACAACCCCACCTCACATTTTTCTAATTTTAAAATTTTATGAAGACTTTCAAGTAGTATAGGATGAAACTCAATCAAATGATTCAGTTAGTGTAAATGTGAATCTAAGGTAGAGCATTCAAATTCTTATAAAAAAGAAAAAAGAGAATCCACTGGTTATCAGGATAATCCTTATGTTGTCCGATTTAGGACAGCAAGGGAGAATACTTGATGTTAATATTTCAATTCAGTTTTGAGATTGGATAAGCATATTAGAGATTATTTTCTCTCTCTCTTTTTTTTTTTTTTTGGTCAAACTATATGACTGATATGGCAACCCTCCTTCTATACCTCCTATACTTAGAGTCACTTTGTTCACAGATTAGCAAGAATGAATTCTAGGGAACTTTGATCTTAGCATCTCAGAGAAAAATGTTAAAGTTCAAATTGGTCTTACCTTTGTATTTCTTCTGTTAGATCTTCCTCAGTCTTGCCTCATCTCTCTACCACACTCCTATGTGTAGAAAGAGACATTATGAGAATATACAGCAGATAGATATGTTCTATCTTGTATATTTCATTTAATCCCAAATTTCTAATTCTGAAAAATGTGCTGTTACTCTAACTGCATGGCTTTGGGGTTGACTTGGAAAGGGTCTTTTTCCTGGAAGGAATTACATTTTTAATTCATTGGAGCTTTTGGTGAGGGAGAGGTGATTATGGAGTATTCACCATAGCAAAGAGAAAGACACATGGACATAGTAGTGGTAGGCAGTTTGGAAGAGCAGTAATTTAGGTCAGGAGATGTAAAAATATCATCTGAATCTTTTTTGGAATTGATTATGTAGATCTAAGAGGGCAAGTTATCTATTAACTTACATGGGGCAAGTAGATTGAAGTTAAAAATGAGGTAATATGTATGAAAGCACTAAATCAATGAAAATTATTATTAGGTGAAAAGTATTTCATAATGGTGTAACTTGTAATTCTTTTTTAATTAGATTGCTTTTTTAGAAATAAAAGGGAGGGGAAACTTTTAGAACTGTTTTTCTTTTTTTTAAGATTGTCATCAGCTATTTGATTTACTACTGTGTGTTCAACAAATGGATTGTTACATATTTCAAACAATGATATTTTCTTGTCTACAAGTTGGTTTTTGATGTGGTTAAATATATTTTTCTTGTCTAAGGTGGGATCCCATCGTGTCCGTATGTCAAGGGGTTTTGAAGCTAATGCACCTGCTTTTGACAGGTAAGACTCATTATTTTTACATAGTGCTATAAGTTTTGATATTATTAAGCAGTGAGATTACTTGTGTTTACTGAGTGCTTTCAACTTTTTTGATGCCATGTAAAATTCCTCTGACTTCTAATTCAGTTTGAAGACTGTAATGTTATAACTTCTAGGGGTGGATCTTACTCTTGTTAGCCTTAAGACTTCCATTCTGGGTGCATTGTTCCCTGCTGGCTACTAGCCAAATATAGCTGCTAAGCACTTAAAATGTGACAAGTCCAAACTGAGATGTATTATAAATGTCAAATGTGTACTTGATTTCACTTAGTATAAAATATATCAATATTTATTTTATAGTGATTGCATGTAGAAATATTTTAGGTGTGTTGAATTAAATAAAACATTTAATGACCACTGTTTCTTTTTAGTTTTCTAAATGTTCCTTCTTGAAAATTTTAAATCACAGATGAAGCTCATGCTTTATTTCCTACATATGGTATCCCTCTATCTGGTAGTCCCCTTTATCCTCATGGTATACATTGTGAGACACCCCCTCCTCCCTGGGAATGCCTGAAACCTCATGTATCTATTTGTATACTGATTTTTCCTAAACATATATATTTGTGATAAAATTTAGTTTAGACATTAGGCAAGGTAAAAAATTAGGAACAAGATCGAATAAGATAGGACTGTTAACAACAATATACTGTAATAAACAAGTTGTGTAGCTGGGTGTGGTGGTGCATGCCTTATAATCCCAGCAGTTCAGGAGGCTGGGGCAGGAGGATTGCAGTTTCAAAGCCAGCCAGAGCAACTTTGTGAGGCCCTGAGTAACTTAGCGAGAACCTGTCTCAAAATAAAAAGAGTTAGGAATGTGGCTCAATAGTTAAGCACCACTGGGCTCACCCCCACCACACACACACACACAAAAATTAATTATGTGAATTTGGCTTCCCTCTCTCGAAAGAATCAAGACCAATTTTAACAATTTTGGATTGCGGTTGATCTTGAGTAACTAAAACTTTTTTATTTTTCTTCCTTTATTGCTTGCCTATGTCCCAGAAGCCCAAGGAAAAGGGAAACCACAGATAGGGAAAGACTGCTGTATAGCTTCTGGAATGATTGAAAGTGGAGAGAAAGAAGACTCATATTCAGGGCCTAGTTTTCAAGAATTATACCTAGTAAGGAGGTCCTTCTAAATGTTTTCAGAGTATGTAATGACCTTACTGATACCTTGTTTTGTCTGGGGCCAGTCTTCCAGAGTGAAGAGGGGGCTGGATGAGTCCATAGCTTCAGCATGGGTGAGAGTCCATAAGTCAGAGAGGAAATTGCATTAACTGAGTTTTCATAAATTCAGAGGTATAAGATTTATACCCAATTTGGCCAATTGTCTGAGTTTAAAATACTGCCACCTAGGTGAAGTCTTAATTCTGTGTATGTATGAGTTTATAGAGATGAACCCAACAACTACGTATAACTGTAAAGCTCCAGTGGAAAATAAAATGGATTCTGGTTTTTTTTTGGGTGGCTTATCATTTGACATATGCTTATTTCCTTTTTCTCCTCAATAGGCATTTTAGAACACTTAAGAATTTATATGGCAAACAAATAATTGTAAATTTGCTTGGATCTAAAGAAGGTGAACATATGCTAAGTAAGGCTTTCCAGGTAAGTATGGCCATTTCTTCTTTTGTTCTGGACCATGGTCACCTAGAATAGTATTTTTAAAAAATAATACAATAATCAGATTCTCCTGGGATACAAATTATTTCCTAGAGAAAGGTTAGTACTTATTGGAGTCTCTAATTCTTTGGAACCATTAGAGAACAATTTAGACTGTGCTGCTGAAATTTGAATTTTGGAAAGCTTTCAAGACAGTTGTCCTTCTTTTTTTAATCTGCTATTTAATTTTTTAGAGAAGCAGAAAAATACCACCCCCCCAAGCAAAAGTGTTCATCTATCATTAGTAGAGAAATTTCAGGCAGTTTCCTCCTTTATTGATTGCCTATGTCCCAGAAGCCCGAGTCATTTGTGTACACACAACACTATACTGTCGTGTGTAGATGAAGAGAAGACAAGTGAAAGGAACTCAAATGCCTGGCTTCTCGAGAAAATTACTTTTAATAAGTGCTTATTAAGGGCTGGGATATAGCTCAGTTGGTAGAGTACTTGCCTCACATATACAAGGCCCTGGGTTTAATCCCCAGCACCACAAAAACAAAACAAAATAAATAAATGCTTATTGAATCAATATTGAATTAATATAAATAATGATGTTAAATAAAATTATAAACTTAAAATGGTAGAAATCATTTTTTAAAGTTCAGTCTCACATGTCTAAAAAGTAACCTAGTTATTTGGCTATATTTTAACCTTGTGATATAAGTATTGTTAATAAACAGATTATACTTTAGAATGTGAATTTTTAGTAGTGTACTTTAAAATGTATTATTAAATGAAAGTATAGAAAATTAATCTTTCAGTTCTTGATACTTTGTGTTACAAAAAGAGAATACTTTGAAATTCTGTAATTAGTATAAACAGTTACTAAATTGTGTTGGAAAATAAAATACTTGTGATTGGAAATAATTTTTCATTTTCTAAATCAGGCCAGAATGTTATTTAAGTTTCCTGGTATTAATTATGTCACTCAGTTTCTCAGGGATAGTATATGAGGTTTTAGGGAATACATGACATTAGGTACCAGCAGGTAATTTTCCATTTTACTGTTAGTGTCAATAAGGTCACATTTAACATTCAGATTACTATTTGCCTTTTTTACTTTTCAGAGTCATTTAAAAGCTTCTGAACATGCTGCTGATATCCATATGGTGAATTTTGATTATCATCAAATGGTTAAAGGAGGAAAGGCAGAAAAATTACATGGTGTTCTTAAACCTCAAGTCCAGAAGTTTCTAGATGATGGATTTTTTTATTTTGATGGAAGTGAAGTTCAAAGGTTTGACTGCTGTCTTTCTCTGTTCTTTAAATTGAAACTTTGCTATACTTTTAAATTTATTCTTATCTTTGGACTCTTTAATTTCCTTTTTAAAATTAAAGTTTAAAATTTAAATATCATTTTTATGCTGAATTTTCTATAGAATTCAATAAATAAGAGCACATACTATGGGAAAGGCAGCATAGTCTGTGTTTCAATATTAGTGGCTATGGGGATAGGCTCTGTTATGTGCATTTACATTTGAGGAAATCAAGTCATAGTCTCTAATCTGTTCCAAGTCACATGACTAGGAAGTATTGGAGCTAAGATATATCTGGCTCTAGACCTCTTGCTGTTATCTATGAAACTATTCCATTTTTTAAAAATAATTAATGTGTTAATGTTTTTTGACCCTGGTTAAAACTGTTAAGTGCAAATAGAAATAAATGGTATATGCTTACTCTCTGCTTTAGTGTAATTTAAATTTTCAGTTTTGTATAAGCAATAAAGGAAAAAAAGTAAATATTGTAGGATTTAAGTTCAGAATATAGGTTGAGGTAAACTTTGTGAATAACATTTAAATTTTTAATTTTTTCACCTTTTTAAATTTACTTAATATCAATGCCATAGCAATGTTATAGGATAGTCAATAGAGAAGGTAGACCTTAAATTTTCTAAACTTCTTTCCCTGAATATTTGATTATCTTTTAAGTGCAAAGGACTACAGGATTATAAATCTGAATGTTTGTTTAGTTCCAGACTACTGGCCTAATTAAAAGTAAGTGTATCATAGATAAAGACTATATGGCACAATGTGAATACATTATAGATTCTTCATGGTGACTGTATGGATAGTCATGGCATAATTCATCTTTTTAGTATGTTTGAAAATTGTAATAATAAAAGGGGTGCTATGTTTTAATCATCTCAGTTATTTTAATCAACTCAGTTGTTTTAGTTTTATTTTTGTTGCAAACTAGTTGTATTAACTTTATTGAAACTATTACAGATGCCAGAGTGGTACAGTTCGAACAAATTGCTTGGATTGTCTTGATAGAACAAATAGTGTGCAGGCATTTCTTGGCCTAGAGGTAAAAAATAAATTAAAATGCATGTATCCTCTACCATATGCCTCTTTAAATGCTTTTATAATACTTATATTTTTCACTAGTTTCTTTTCAGAATATAAAAATGAAGTTATGTTTCATTAAATGCATTTCTACTTCTTTTCTAGTCTTTTTTTTTTGCTAAAATACCTTTTGATTTAAATGTTTTCCTTTATCTGTTCCTCACATTCTCTTTATGTAGCTGTCTATTTCCTTCTATTCTCTTTGAAAAACTGATTATTTATAGTATTCCAATAATTCCAAGAAAAAAGAAAAGGAGGGAAAAAGGCATGTTGATTATTTAAATGGATTTTATCACATTGCCACGGGTTTTTTCCATGTTCTGGCTTTAAGTGACTGAATATACTTTCATGAATTCTGAGTAAGCTTATTGAAATACTTAAAACTTGTAATGAAAAGTATAACAGGTGTTAATTTGCAGGATCAGTCTTAGCTGACCTTCCACTATTGGAAACTAGATTCAAGAATGTTCCCTGGTACAATATTTGGTTGACTGGTTACAAATTTTAATGCGAGGGTAGGCAAAAACAAACTAATAGTGAAGTAAGATCAGTTTCACCCACTTCCTTGAAAGGGGAAAGTTTAAATGATGAAGGAGCTCTTGTCCTGGGGGCTTATTTTGTTTTCCATTCTAGCAAAGAACAATTCTGCTCTAAGTCTTGGGGAATCTATTTACCGTTTTTAATGTTATTTTAGTTTTTGATTCTTATATAATTATGGATAATCACTATGCTTAAAATATATGGTAAAAGAAAACATAAATAGGAGTTAAGTAAAAATAAAAGGCACAGAATATTACTGGATTCCAAGTAAGAGAAGCAGATTGAAGAAGGATTTTGTATTGCTTTGACTTTGCCAGATTTCAAGGCTAGAATTCACATAAAGTAATGAGCAGAAACTTCTCTGAACACTTGTACTATTTGTTATCTGAGATGGAGGAATTGTGGTAGCCCAAAGCTCCTTAAATTCCTTGCCTGCTGTATTCCTCCTAGTTCTCCTTTGTACATACTATCAATATAGATTTGATATATAAAAATCTGTCATGACGTATGCAAAGCTGTAACTTATTTTCTTTATTTGTGTGACAGTTTAAGAACAGCTTTCCTTTTCTTTATACTCTCTTGACTTTTATTATCCAAACTTGTAGAATCACATCCAAAAATTAAAGCAACTTTGCTATTTCCATATATATTTGGGAAAACTAGATAAATGTTTTCTGATGAATACTGTTGATTAATTATATCTTTTAGGTGATCAAGGTAAACTAGTCTGATTTATAGGAACACTTGAAGATTAATTTTATCATTTAATCAGAAAGAAGTTTTTTTATTAATAAAGGGAATATAAAGTTACTTTAGTTTTCATTGGTGTGACATGTACTTCAAAAATTGAAGTGGTAGAAGACAACAGCCTAGTAAAATGTTCATGTTTTCAGAAACCAGTCTCATTGTCCTATAACTATAAATTTTTATTTGATTCTAATAAGTTCTTAAGAGTCATTACAATTCATTATCATGTTTATAAAAGGTTCTTGTTTGCTGATTTAGATGCTGGCTAAACAGTTGGAAGCTCTTGGCTTGGCTGAGAAACCTCAGTTGGTGACTCGCTTTCAAGAAGTTTTTCGGTCCATGTGGTCTGTGAATGGTGATTCCATCAGTAAGATATATGCGGGAACTGGAGCTCTTGAAGGGAAGGCTAAGGTAGATCCAGATCTATCATAATATTACCAATGATAGTCTTTCATTTTCTTTTTTTTCCATTTTCTCTTAATAAAGCTTTAAAGTGACTTTTTAAAAAACTAACAGATTTTTAAGTTAATAGATATCTACTTTAAAATTCTGTTTTATCATGCTTTTGTGCCCTCTTTGATACTTCCTTCTATGGTGGATGATAATAATTAAATGGAAAAAAATTTTTTAGTTTTGAGAAGGGTACGTATATGAGACTAATTTAATCAGAGATAATCCACTAAGATAGCATGTATTGCTATTTTTATGATTTTTACCTTGAATGTATATTTTACTTTTTTATCCTTTATATTAATTGTAAAAGTGATTTTTTTTCTTACCGTGGTCCTCCTAATATAGTATCCTATCTCATATAGCTTTGTGTCCCCTGAACTTGACATAGCACCTGACATTGAATAGATATATGACAAATGCTGAATGGACAAATAAATCCATCAATAATTTATGCAAAACCTACTATTAACATTTCTAGGGCTTTGTTGTTGAGTTTTTGTCCTTCTACTTATTTTGCTTTGAAAATGAGGCTGTCAGAATGTGCCAGAGAAGTACAAGATACGGATTTAATTATAATTCTGATTTTCATCATTATTTTTTGATTGCTGATATTATCTGTAGACTACTTTACCCTTTAATATTTGGTCCTTATTGTGGAATTTTGGAAGTATATTGGGTTATTTATCATTATTTTTTATCCTTAAAATAGTGTTTAACTTTTAAGGGATCCTGGTTTCACTTGAATCTATTATTTCAGATCTCTAAAAATCCCTCATTATTTAAGGAATAGAAATGAGAACATTTACAACTTTTATAGTTCACATTGAACTTCAATATAGCAGTGGAAATTCTGTAATGACATTTGTCGTCTCTGTGTCTTTTGAATTTTCCAAATCTGAATTTCTCCTCTTCTGTATCACATAAAATGCTATGCCTCAACTCAGAGATTTTGGCCTCACTTGCAGAGTTTCTTTTGCTCAACTCTTAGGAATAGTTTGCATTGACTTTTAAAAATATTTACTTCTTAAATGCTTCCTATATTTGAAAACCTGTAATTGTTAAACTTTCATTTATTTCTCTTAAATAGACATACTTCTTGCTATTAAAAGCTGATTCTCTACAACTATTGCTTAAAATAATCTGCCTTTATTGTTTCTTCCATGACTAGTCAATATATGTACAGAAGTTACATATATTTTCAGTAGACTTTTATCATTTACAATATGTAGATAAAAATATAATATAAAGAACCTTTTTATATTAAATATACTAGACTGAAATGAGCTAAAATCTAACATCTGAACTGCTCTTTCTTTTCCTTTCTCTGGGTTCCTTTTGATTAATTGCCTGATAATGTGAATGGTGAGTGTTTTTTCAATATCATTTGTGTATGTTATCATCTGAAGGGAAACAATGTTTTAATGTGAAATTTAAGTAAAAATAGAGTGGCATTCATTTGGTGGCATTGAAGAAAATGACTCTTTATTCTGAAAAGAAGTCTAATTATTGTTATTCCTTTAAAGAAAAGTATATTGTAAATTAAAGTTATTTTTTAAAAGGCAAGAGTTTGGGGGTTTTTGTTTTTATATTTGGGTTTTTTTGTTTGTTTGTTTGTTTTGGACAGTCAAAATCTGTAAGATCAAATTGAATCCTCTTTGAGATAACTAACATGCCTAAGTAAAAGACATATATATTAAAAGTCATAATCACCTCACTGTAGGAATATGTTTATTATTTTTATGATTTATATTTGTATAGGACAGAAAATGACTCTAAATATACAAACTATATAAGTACACTTCTGGTTATTTCCTTTACTTTTCTGTATCACTACTGGATGTAATTGTGGCACTTAGCTTTTTTCTTTCTTTGTGAACTGTTATGTGAGAGAAGAAAGGAAATAGTGACATCTTGAGGCCTTTTAATGTAACGGTTGTACCTGCAAAGTAAGGTGATTAGGTCCTTTTTAAACTAAAAACATATGAAACCAATTTATACTTGCAAAATATTGACTCAAGTAAAATGAACAGTATTTAGAATGAAAACTCATGCTTCTTTCTCCCTCAACAGGCTGGAAAGTTAAAAGATGGTGCTCGTTCTGTTACCAGAACAATTCAGAATAACTTCTTTGATAGCTCCAAGCAAGAGGCCATTGATGTTTTGCTACTGGGAAACACTCTAAACAGTGATTTAGCTGACAAAGCTCGGGCACTTTTAACTACTGGAAGTTTGCGTGGTATGTGTACTTACTTTATATTTTATTTATTTTATGTAATTCTTGTAAAAGTTGAAGAGGTAAATGTAAACATTAAAACAAATAATATTTAGATCATAGTTGATTAAATAGTTTTGGAAGGAATTTTTGTAAAGGTGATTTTTAAAAATTGATTCTTCAACTGTAGCTTGTCTTTTTAAAATGATTATACTGTTAGTGGTATTATTTAAACAGAAACTGGCCAAATATTTTCTTCTCTAGATTATGCATATTTTCTTCTTAGATAACAAGTGAGGGAGTAAATGATCTTATGTATTACCAACTTTATAATAGGTGAGTTTTCATATAATATTCAGCTAGCACTTATAATAGAACGTTCAATAATCTAATTATATTTTAAATACTTTATTGAAAAAATGAATATGTTGTTTATTTTTCTAATCGCCACCCCCCAAAATTCTGTACTTTGTCTTAACTTTATTGTGATAGTTGGAATAAATATTAAATCACATTAATCAATAATATAAAGTAGTGCTTATTACTGGTCATTAACTGCTATTACTAATTCAATATTTGGCATAAATATATGGTTTTTTAAAATAGCTTTTTATCTTCCATTCTGTCTTTATTTAAAATCAAATGAATTTCTTATGTCAGTGAGCACATAAAAATAGTACTGTAGGAAAACTCAGCATTCTTTATATATGTAGTAGATTAGTGTTCCTTTTTTTCACGTCTGAGCTTTATTGGTTTATAATTGACAAAATAAATTGGACTTCTTCCATACTTCCACTGTTTTTCCATTTTGACTTTATAGCGCTGTTGACATTTTTTTTTTTTACTGTTAGCCCCATATAAACCTTCTAGTGTTTCCTGCTCAAGTGAAGAAAATTGTTTATGCATCAAGTTATGTCCTTTTGTTTAATTATTTGGCCAAATAGGTGATTGTGAGCTCTTAGAATTCCACATAGTGCTCTGAAGGGATTATGATCAGCTCCTCATGCATCTGTTAGAGGCTAGGGGACCAAGACTGACTCCTCAGACTCTGGGGAAAAAGATCTGGTCTTAGCTACTATTATTGACTTCAGGCTTTCTTTCTGGCTTTCAAAAGTAGAGACTGACTGATTTATGTTTTGTCACCTCTTTCCACCTGTGCCTACTTTGATGTGGAGGCATTAATAAGCAACAATTGAAAGTAAGTGGTTGAAGGAAAAGAGCAGCAAAGAACCCAAGTAATTCCCAGACTTGAGCATCAGACTTTTAGTTTCCTGCACATTTTACTAGATGTAAAATATTCCTTTAAAAAATTAGTGCAGTCAGTTCTGCTATAACGCTTGTTTTGAGACTGGGAATTTGTTCCAGTATGGTTGATATATTAGGAGTGATTTGAGCATAATGCCAACTTTGCATGAGCTTATGCGTGATTTTGCTGGCAAGCAACATTAGGTAAATGTAGAAAACTGTATCCAATAAAACTGAGATGGGTACAAATAACAAATATGTAAAGCACACATACACATAAGCATGTATCTTAATACATCTTCTTTACCCCAATTCACCCGGTGTGTTATGAGCTATACCTATCCTCATCTGGTATTTCAACTGCTCATCCATTTTTCCAATAACCTTTCTGCTAGCATTCACAATTTTTATGCCCTTCTGATTCCCATTTCTACAAGTTAACTTCATATCTTTTCAAGATGAAGTGCATTATTGTAGTATTCATGTACTTTGTAACCTTTTAACATGCATAATACATGCTATTGTGTTTATTAGGTTCCTATCACTTTGGTATGTTACTGTTGAAGTTTTTAATGTGATGCCCCAACCCTATTTTCCTCATAAACCCCAATTCTCTCTGGGAATTGGCACAATTTTGCATAATACAGTGATGTTTTTAGAATGTATATATCTTGTTACAGCTGAACTGATAGTACTTATCAACTGGTGAGTCTCAGGAGACATACTTAAAGGTATGTATTAGAGCAGTACTTTCCATATCTTTAGAGTCTTCACCTTCCTAAATTTTCATATTCATATCCTTAAACATGTGCACATGCACACATATACACAAACACAGAAGCAACTGAAAGAGCAGGCTTTGGGCCTTCTGATTGTGAAACAGTGGAGCTGAGTCACTGTAGAATATCCTGTGATGCAGAGGATTTGTATCAGTTATTGTCATCTATTTGTAATCTTTGGTGTCCTATAGCCAACAGGAAAAAAATCAAGTCATTGAATTAACTTTTTTAAAGAAAAGTGAGATCATCTCAGAATGTTTTATCATAACACTCTGGATTTTAACTGTAACTTGTTGTTTTACTAATGATTCTTTGTTTTCTTCTTGGTGCATCCATAGTTTCTGAACAGACATTACAGTCAGGTACAGTATAGTCAATTGATCTATAAATAAAAGCAACTTTTTCTTTCTTTTTCTAAAGTTTATACTGTACACAAATAAAAAGATGTAATTGGAAATTTTCTCATTTTGTCCTCAGACTCTAACAGGATAAATTGATATTTTGTTTTAATCTGAAAGAAAAATGTTACTTTAAAAGTTAAGTACTTCATTTAGAAGGAGATATACAAAGTTCTGTATCTTCTCATATCAATGGCTTGATTCCAATTAAAGATAATTCAGCTAGTTTTAATTTCATTTTTTTATTTCTTTAAACAAGCATTGTTAGTTCTATACCTTCCTTTGGATTAATTTCAGAATGCTATCTGTGTTATTTGTGGCTTCTCAACTGTGGCAGTCACAGTGGTGAAAAAGCATTGTCACATTTTCTTACATTATGGATGGCAATATTCTCTTTTGGGGAGGGGATGATAGTGAGGTGTGAACTCAGGGACACTCAACCTCTGAGCCACATGCCCAGACCTATTTTGTATTTTATTTAGAGACAGGGACTCATTGAGTTGCTTAATGGCTCACTTTTGCTAAGGCTGGCTTTGAACTCGGGATCCTCCTGCCTCAGTCTCTTAAGCCACTGGAATTACAGGCGTGCACTACTGCGCCCGGCTGGATGACAATATTCTATAACTACAGACCTGCACTAAAATATGATCTGAAATTGTTTAATTTAAAAACACTAGTATTACTAACCAAGTCAGAAGACTTAAGTACATAATACCTAAAGGTTATTATTTTTCCTGCCTATTTATTCAGAGGAGCCCATTTCTTCATTCTGTGGACAAGGTTTACAATTTTGTCTTTAAAGACGAATATGTGGCAAAAGGAATAAAAGCAACAAAGCTCATGCCAGAAATTTGGCTGAAAATAACATCTTTTCTTCCCCTTGTTAAGATTTGGTATCAAATTACTTAAGATTTGTTTTGCCTAATTTTTCTGAGTCTTTTGAGAAGAGTAGGGAAGAGAGCACTTGGCTATGTTTTGGGATCATATAGTGATTTTCTGAAATGATGTGGTATTTAGGGATGGACATCTGTTGTTTGAGTACAGATTCATTATTTCTTTAAGTACATTAGTGTATGTGTGTGTTTGTGTGTATATTTTACACAAATATACATATATGTATGTGTATACATATTACCTTATTCCATTTAAAAACCAATTTGACTTTATTAATTTATACAATGCCACAACCTCTTTTTGTTCATGCTATTCATTATTCTCTTGCTTAATATTTCAAGTTATACAATCATAGAATGTATTTCAGTGTAGAATGTATTTTAGAAGCTCTCTTCACAGTAGTAACAATGGCAGTGACTTTAATGATAAAGACCAAAGATAAACCATAGTAATATAGAATGATTTTTATATAGGTACAGTCAGCTTTCAATTAACCATACCAACAGGCCAAAACAAATAATCTGATTTTATTACTGTCCAAATACCTCTTCAGGTAGTCAAATCACTGGCAAGAGGGTAAGAAATATGCATATCTACTGCTGGAACAATGGGGATATGCTTATTATCAGAACCAACAGTTCTTTCACTAAAACTATATTTATAATAATCCTAAAGCATTATAATCCTTATTGTTTCCACTCTTATTTTATCAGTAGACTGATACTTCATAATATCATGGTAATGTAAGATTATGTGGTAAAAGGTGAAATAGTTTTGATTTCCTTTTTCTCTTACCAGTTAACTGCCAATTAAGTGCAAATATTGTGGTTTTAGGTTGAGGTACTGTTAAAGTTCTATTTTTAAGTGCCAAGAAGGGGTGTAGGCTTAGAAGGGCAAGATAGATGATACACCAAAAAATATGCAAGAAGAGAGGCTGAGGATTCAAAATGTATTGAGCATTCATTTTGCAATTTTGTATTTTTATTTTGTATCGGGCACCTTTTTTGTTGCTAGGGATATTTCAGTAAACAAGACCAACCTTTTTTCAGTTGTCATGAAGGGAGATAGCTACACAATGAATAAATAAAATACAGGTTGAATATCCCAATACAGGTTGAATATCCCTTATCTAAAATGGTTGGGGGCAGAAGTGATTCATATTTCAGAGTTTTGAAATATTTGCATAGATTTACTGCTTGAGTATCCTAATTGGAAACTCCAAAATTTCAACTGCTTAAAAATCCAAAATTTTTTGAGCATCATATTTGTGCTCAAAAATTTCTGGATTTCGGATTTTCAGATTGGAATTGCTCAACCTGTACATAGTTTGTAAATGGTAGATGCTAGAGAAAAAAACAAGCAATAGAGGGTAATGGAAGGTCAGGAGCAGACAGCAGTTTTAAATAAGGTGGTCAGGGATGACTTCATTGAAAAGACTTTAAGGAGGTGCAGTGAGAGCGTTGCAGGCAGTGGAAATGGCCAGGACAAAGGCCCTATGGTAGGAGTAGACCTGGTATCTTTTTAAAACAGTAGGAGGCCAGTGGCAGAGCAGTGAGTGAAAAGGAGAAGGTAGAAGGATTAGATAAATTATTTAGGGCCTCATGGACCATTCCTAAGGACTTTTGTTTCTATTTCATTTTCAGCTGTCTCATATCTTCCATAATATATATTTTTGCCATTATTTATCAAGCTACCTGTCAGTAGCAAAAATCTTAAAAATAAATGCTCTTAAATGTTTTTATTTGAGGAGAAATAAAATATGAGTTTTTACCAGCCTCTTCATAAAAATTGTTTAAAGTCCAGTTACTATATTCCTAAAAATGTTCAACTTGTAGATTTTTGTACTTTTTAAAACAGTAAATGTTTCATTGTAATGGAACTGTTTATTATGCATGTTGTATGTTGCTATAATGATTTTGTAATAGTTTTTTAACTTTGGCTATTATATTTGTTTTTATTGATTTTTTTTTAAAAAAGTGTGTTGCTTAATTGCCTCAAGCTGGGCTTTGCATTCAATGCTAGATCATTTTTATGCCTGTGCATGTATCTTATTTGTGCTTGTGATGATAATTACACTTTTCATATCTCAGTTATGAAAATAAATTTTTATAAATGGCATAATGCAGCTAAAATTCTGTTGTGTTTTGTTTTTGATTAGCATCTTCAAAAGTACTAAAGAGCATGTGTGAGAACTTCTACAAGTATTCAAAACCCAAGAAAATTAGAGTATGTGTCGGAACCTGGAATGTGAATGGTGGGAAGCAGTTTCGCAGCATTGCTTTTAAGAATCAGACGCTCACTGACTGGCTTCTTGATGCACCCAAGTTAGCTGGCATTCAGGAGTTTCAAGGTTGGCTTTTTATTAAGTGGTCTTAATTTTAAAACCTGACTGGTGATTTGTTGATTTAGGAAACAAATGTAGTGCTTGATAATGTGCATTAATTTTAAAAAGAAACTTTGGCTTCCTTTATAAATTTGAGGGCCAACATTTTTATAGGTCAAATCTACCTCTTTTTTATTTCTATACCTTTTTTATCTTTGATAGTTGAGTTTTGAAATAGGGTTTGATGTAAATAGATATCATTGAAGGTAGTCACACACATGTAAGAAAAACTAGTCCTGTTTTATTCTTTTGTTTTTTTAATTAAATGATAGTAGAATGCATTACAATTCTTACTACACATATGTATACACATATACAGCATAATTTTTCATATCTCTGGTTGTATATAAAGTATGTTGATACCAGTTTGTGTCTTCATACATATATTTTGGTTAATGATGTCTGTTTTAATCTTTTAAACTGACATGAACAAAGATTATTTTGTAACTGATAATTTGAATATTATTCTTCAAGACTAATATGCCTAATTTTTCAATTCTAGTTCTTTGTTTAATTCCTATGGTAAGAAATATCAGGGTGGGTTATAAGTAGGCTTACAAAACTTATTGTAAGGATGCTTTCATTATGATTCTCATTAGAAAAAGGAATTTAAGAGAACTTAATTTTTTAAAAAAATCAAATTACTTTGAAAAATAGTATATAGGGTCACCTCTTTAAAAACATCTGTTCCTGCTGATGGGCAGAATCACAGCTTCTGGGACAGGAGTTCCCTGTGTTTCTCCTTTGCTAGCAAAGCAATAAAACTTTTTTTCCTTTTTCTAAAAAAAAAAAAAAAGTATATAATGAACAATGTTATATATGAAGGTTATGAGTACAAAAAGTAGTATTTTTTTCTTTCTTTTTTTTTAGTCTTTTAAAATTTATTTTAATCCTGACTTAATCACTGGGATTTTCCTAAAACTTTTTATTAAAATGCCCTTTTTGCCTAATTTAATCCAAGCTGGAAACAGAAGAAATAATAATGGTAATAATAATACAATAATAACTAACCCTGTAATTCTACATAATTTACAGATGCTTATTTAGTCTTAGACCTATTATGTTAACATTATTCCAGCTTTATGGATGAGGAAACTGAGATAGAAAAGTGGAAATAATTTGCTCATGGTCGTATAGCAGTAATGGCACAAAGAGGGTGTGAGTTAAGGCAGCTTGGCTCCACAGTGTGTATGCCATGTCTCAATGGATGTGTGAACTTAGGCAAGTTTCATAGGTTCTCCAAAGCTTCATTTTCCTGTCTGTAACAAAGATAATTTTCTGTCTTATATAAGTTGTTTGTGTGGTAGCTACATGAGATATGATGCAGATTTGAGCTTGGCATGTAATAATAGTCAAAACTTTTTTATTTTTCAATATTAGTTCATAATATTTTAGGCTCATTTTAGCTATTTGTCTTTATTTTTAATATGAAGTTCCCCAAAGTACCCCAGGACTGCTTATCTGAAGTAGCTTCCCTTCTTTTTTAGTTCTTTCAGATATAAAAAAGGATAATAGCTGAGACAAAGTGAAGTATCTTAACCCCTGGTTCTCTTCTCCTTTTCCTGGATTACATTCATGTAGGAAATAGCAAAAAGTTTCAAATTCGAATATGAAAAATGCCTCCCAGCTGTTATCTCCAAAATTTGAGAGTTTCTCAGCCACTTTATTCGTTATGTCTTAATAAATCTTTCACCTCTCCAATTTTGATTCACTTTAGCCTTCAAGAAGTGATAATAGTTTCTCTATTGTCCATGACTCAAATGTAAGATTCTTTCAAAATGTTACTTAAGGGTTTCCAAGAGTAATAATCTTTTAAACTTTTTTTTATTTGTTCTAATTAGTTATACATGATAGCAGAATGTATTTAGAATGCATTCATTGTACACAAATGGAGCACAACTTTTCATTTCTCTGGTTGTACATGATGTAGAGTCACACCACACATGTAGACATACATGTAACTAGGATATGATGTCCATCTCATTCCACCATAATTCCTGCCCCCTTACCTCCTTCCTTCCCATCCCTCCCTCCCCTTTGCCCGATCAAAGTTCCTCCATTCTCCCCACCCCTCATTATGTGTCAGCATACACTTCTCAGAATATTTGGTCTTTGGTTTTTTGGGATTGGCTTACTTTGCTTAGAGTGTTATTCTCCAACTCCATCCATTTACCTGCAAATTCCATAATTTTATTCTCTTTTAATGCTGAGTAATATTCCATTGTGTACATATACCACAGTTTGTTTATTTATTCATCTGTTGAAGGGCATCTAGGTTGCTTCCACAGTTTAGCAATTGTGAATTGTTCTGCTATAAACATTGAAGTGGCTGCATTATTGTACTTTGCTATTTTTAAGTCTTTAGGGTATAGACCAAGGAGTGGGATAGCTTGGTCAAATGGTGGTTCCATTCCAAGTTTTCTGAGGAATCTCCATACTGCTTTCCAGAGTGGTTGCACCAAATTGCAGTCCCACCAGCAACTCATGAATGTGCCTTTTCCCCACATCCTTTCAACACTTATTGTGGCTTGTATTCTTGATAACTGCCATTCTGACTGGAGTGAGATGAAATCATAGAGTAGTTTTGATTTGCATTTCTCTAATTACTAGACATATTGAACATTTTTTATGTATTTGTCGATCAATTGTATTTCTTAAAGAATCAAGTTTAAGATATAGTAGAAAGTAAATTTAAAGTAATGTTACCTTTTGTATGAATTAGTTAACTCAAAACACAAAAAGTAGATTTTTATGAGATCTGGTGTTACGTTTTATTGGATGAGATTGTAATTTGATTAAGGCTATATTTAAAAGTATTTCTTGGATGCTTAATTGTAGATAAAAGAAGTAAACCAACTGATATATTTGCAATTGGTTTTGAAGAAATGGTAGAGTTGAATGCTGGAAACATTGTGAATGCAAGGTAAGCTGGTCAAGTAACACTGGAAATTTTTCTTATTGAGGGACTTGGAACACAGGTAACATGTTAGCTTTTCATCATTGCTGTGACCAAAATGCTTCACAAACAACTTGGAGAGAAAAAGGATTATTTTACTCATGGTTTCAGAGGTTTCAGTCCATGGTTAGTCATCTTAATTGCTCTGAGCCTCAAGTAAAGCAGAACATCATGGCCTACCAGGGAAAAGGCTGCTCAACTCATGAGAGAGACAGGGTCTCCAAAGGCATGTCCCCAATGACCTACTTCCTCCATCTGTGACCAACCTGTTTACACTTTTCTAGCACCTCTCTGTAATCTATTTAACTGTTAATGGATTGATCCATTGATGAAATCAGAGTCCTCATGATCCAGTCACTTACCCAAGTCTCCATTTCTGAACCTTGCTCCATTGGGGACCAAGTCTTTAAAAACGTGAGACTATGGGGGACATTTCAGATCCAAGCCATAACAGGTAATTTAGTTATTGTTGCCAGGATAAATTGAGATAATATATGTAAAAGTGATCTTTAAGCTATGTAATACCAGTTCTTAAACTTTTTGGTCTAAGAATCTCTCTACACTCTTAAAAATATTGAGAATCTTTATGTGGGGTGTCTCCCAAAATCTCACATGTGAGACAATGCAAGAAGGTTCAGAGGAGAACGGATTGGGCTGTGAGAGTCTTAATACAATCAATGAATTAATCCCTGATGAGATTAACTTGAGTGGTGGCTGAAGGTAGGTGGGGTATGGCTGGAGGAGGTGGTACATTAGGGGCATAGCTTTGGGGTATATATTTGATTCTGGCAAGTGAAGATATCTTTCTCTGCTTTCTGATCATCAAATGAGCTGTTTCCCTCTGCCACACTCTTTTACCATGATGTCCTGCCTCACCTCAAGCCCTGAGGAATGGAGCCTGCTGTCTATGGATTGATACCTCTGAAACCACGAGCCCCTAAATAAATCTTTCCTCCTCTACAGTTGTTCTGATCGGGTCTTTCAGTTACAATAGTGAAAAAGCTGGCTAAAACAATCTCAAAGAAATTTTATTAATGTTGTTATATTTATTATATTAGAAGTTAAACTTGAAAATTTAAAAACACTTATTTAACTCATTTTAATCTCATTATCCCAGATGTAGAACACCTATAAAAGCAAATATACCACTTATGGTAACCTTGAAATAATATTGAATGATTATTGTTTTAAAAGGCAATCTTTTGAGAAAAGTAACAGGTGAATATTTAGAGAGTTTGAAAAAATATAGATGTATTTCATAGATGAAAAGATATATAAAGGGTATATAAACTCTAGATTACATTTTCAACCTGTTTTAATGCACTCATATAAATTTCATTGAAATATTCACAGAATAACATTCCAAAATTTACTGAAAAGGTTGGCATGGTTTTATAGTTCTGCACATTTCTTTAATGTCTGACTTAAAACAACTAGAAACTTATATCTACTTCTGTATCACTCGATTGCAGTGTGTTGTTTTAGTTGAACTATATGGAAGAAAAATCACATAAATGTGTAGTTGAAAAGGGAAAATTTTTAATGGCCTTTCCAGATAATTTCTTCTCTGATATTACATCCAAACTCAAAAGTTTGTCTTAAAAACTTGTCTTAAAAGTTAGTTGCAGAATAGAATATGAAACCATATCAATGATTTTAATTCCTCTATTTATACTAAAGTTCTTCATTGATACTTTATCCTTTCATATTTTAAAAAAAAATTTTTTTAGTTCTTGTTAGACACAATACCTTTATTTTGTTTATTTTTATGTTGTGCTGAGGATCGAACCCAGGGCTTTGCAGTGCTTGGCGAGCACTCTACTGCTTAGCCACATCCCAGCCCAATCCTTGAATAATTTTGTAAATCATATATTGGTCATTTGGAAAAGTTAACTTAGTTATGTAGAGTTACTAAAGTTTGACATATCTTATCATACATATCAAAGCACTATATTAGTTAATATCATCACTGATATATGAAAAATTTTTTTAAATATTGGAAACTGTAAAGATATGATAGCAGACACTAGTTTTCCAGAATTCTATTTTTTGCTTAAAAACTCAACTTTTTATCATTATAAACAAATGTTCTTGGTTGTTTTTCTTGAAGAGACGGGGTTGGCTGAAAAAAATATATGTCTGATAATTAATCAAATCTGAATAGCCATAGTCTGTCATTAGTTCTTTCTTTATTTTTAAAAAAATATTTATTTTTTAGTTGTAGGTGGACACAACATCTTTATTTCTTTTTATGTGGTGCTAAGGATCGAACCCAGTGCCTCACTTGTGCTAAGCGAGTACTCTACCACTGAGCCACAACCCCAGCCTTGTCATTAGTTCTTTCAAGAACAATTGTATTCCATGAAAAATGTGACAGTTTTATGCCTGTTATCTCAGTGTCTCTGGAGACTGAGGTAGGAGGATCGTAAGTTCAAAGTCATCCTGAGCAATTTAGTGAGACCCTGTCTCAAAATAAAAACTAAAAAGGGCTGGGGATGACCTTATATTATACTACAGAGCTATAGTAACAAAAATAGCTATTGTAACAATACAGTAGTTTTGGCACCAAAACAGGCATGAAGAATAAGGGAATAGAATAGAGGAGACAGAGACAAACCCACATGAATACAGTCATCTCACATTAGACAAAGCCTCCAAAAACATACACTGGAGAAAAGATAAATCTCTTCAACAAATGGTGCTGGGAAAACTGGAAATCCACATGTAGTGGAATGAAATTTAATGCCTATCTCTATTCACAAAAGTCAACTCACAGTGGATCAAAGACCTAGGAATTATACCAGAAACCCTGCAACTCTTAGAAGAAAATGTAGATCCAGTACTCCAACAGCTTTTTTAAAATAAGACATCTAAAATACAAGAACTAAAATAAAGAATCAATAAATGGGATAGTATCAACTAAAAAGCTTCTTCACAGCAAAGGAAACAATCAAGAACATGAAGAGGGAGCCTACAGAATGGGAGGAAATCTTTGCCACCAGCACATCAGATAGGTTGTTAATTTCCAGGATATGCAAACAACCTCCAAAAGCTTAACACACACACACACACAAAAAAAACCCAAACAAATAACCCAATTAATAAATGGGCAAAGGAACAAAACAGATGCTTCCCAAAAGAATAAATACAGTCAACAAATATATGAAAAAATATTTAACATCTCTAGCAATTAGAGCAGCGCAAATTAAAACTATATCGAGATTTCATCTCACTCCAACCAAGATAGTAGAATGAACAACTTTCCTACAGTGAATCTCAACATCATGTACATCTGCAAGACTGGGATCCAAATTAGAATATATTCCATGTTTGTATAAATATATCAAAACAGAATCTACTGGCATGTATGATTAAAAAGAACAGTTAAAAAGTGGGGGCTAGGGATGTAGTTCAGTGGTAAAGCACCCCTGGGTTCAATCTCCCAGGTCTGTGTGTGTGTGTGTGTGTGTGTGTGTGTGTGTGTGTGTGTGTGTATGGTGGTGGTGGTGGTAAGAAATGGCAATTAGCTCACAACTCAAAGTATTGATACTTTTCCTTGAGATAATCATACTTGAGTATATAGAATCACTTTGTGTATATTTCCCATTTATCACATTATCACATAGAATGTTGAAAAGATTTGACTCAAGGGTTAAGCTTGATAAAACTATGCTTACTGCATCATTAAGGACAGTCTTAAGGAAAAATGGCTTTTTTATTTTCCTGAAATTACATCAAAATGAGGATATATTGACTACCAATACAGTTTGGTGCCTGGTTTCAAGTGAAGTCATCACTTTTAACATTGTTGCTTTGACATCATCAGTGCAAATGTCGGCCAACACAGTGAAAAAAGCAATGTCTCAGTAGTGTTATAAAAACAGTTTTGACTCCATTGATTTGGGGAATCCTCACAGATGTCTCCAGACCACACTTCAGAGAACTGAAGCCAATTTACAAGTACAAATTGAGTAAAACTTAAAGCTTAAGTGTTTTAACAAAATATAATTGCTTTTATGTGTGAAAAATTGCCCATTTTTATAACATTTTAAAAGATTTTCAGAAGAATATTGTCGATAAAATATTATGGTTTTGTCATCAATTTTAGAAATTACAATTATTTTGTTGGCCAAAGTGAATTATAATTCAGTTAGGGAAGTAGAAAAACATTGTGCTGCTCAAGTAGCTTTTTTGAAAATATATATTTGATTTTGAAATAGAGCATACTTTTAAGGTTCTTGGTACCAAACAAATTGTTTGTCTAAAAAGAGTTAAATCAATTTCTCTTTAATAAAAAGCAGTGATTGTTTATTCATTTATTTAACCAGTATCATTTGATCACATAATTTTAGGTAGTACAGATATATACCTCAGTGAACAGTACAGACAGAAACACCTGCCTTATTTTTTTTAATATTTATTTTTTAGTTGTAGTTGAACACAATACCTTTATTTCACTTGTTTATTTTTATGTGGTGCTGAGGATCAAACCCAGGGTCCCGCACGTGCGAGGCAAGTGCCCTACTGCTGAGCCATAACCCCAGCCCAGAAACACCTGCCTTCTTGGATTTTGTATTCTAGTGGGAAGAGACAGACAATAACTATAATAGATTATAGAGCATGTTAGAAAAGTGTTATGAAAAATAGATAGTGGTAAAGGGAATCAGGTCTGTGGAGGTGGAAAGTGTCGTCAGTTTTAAATGGAATGATCAGGGTAGGGTTCAATGACCTGAGGAGTGGCATAAAGAAAATGAGGAGGATACTGTTTTCTTTCCAGAAAGAATCCACATTATAGTAATGGGACTATGGTAGGTGGTGAGACAATGTTTGGAGGACGTATTGCATAGTATTGGACTGATGGGTATGAGGTCATATTTATACTTAACATTTGTGTGACCTGGAACAAGGAGAGAAAACTGTTTTGCTCTTGATTGGCAGTTCTTAGTTTCAAACTTAATGCTATCAAACTTCTATAGGTAAGAAAATGAACTTTTATCTGGTATTTCTTAGATGAACAATATTGCATATAATCTCTGCTTTTTATAATCCAGTCTATTATGATTGACTATGAAATGTAGAAATTATGAAGTTAACATTTTTCAACTCCTCATGAAATAATTAATCTGAGCAATCATCATCAGTAAATGCTAAATTCTAAAAGAAGGGTTAGTGGGGAAACTGGAATCCGTTACTGATCTAAATCAGTTTAACATTACTAGAGATGATGTGCCTTTTGCTTTGATATGGTGGGAGGTACACAGCACAAACTAGTAGCTTAGTTTTACCAAAATTAGTGCATAAATAAATTTGATCATGGTTTTTAATCTAGTTTTTACATTAATCATTTTACAGGAAATGTAAGGGATAGAGGAGATATGTTAAGATAAAATTAAAACATCAGCCAAGTCCAATTTGTTCAATATTTTATGGGCACATGACCCAGTTTCTTTCAAAAAAAAAGAAGAAAAATGATATTAAAAACAGGATGGTGGAAGGGGGCAGGGGATTAGTAATGATGGTGGAATGTGATGGACATCATTATCTAAAGTACATGTATGAAGACATGAATTGATGTGGACATACTTTATATACAAACAGAGATATGAAAGATAGTGCTCTATGTATGTAATAAGAATTGTAATGCATTCTCCTGTCATGTATTTAAAAATAAAATCAATTTAAAAAAACAAGTCATATATGATCTTATATTGAACAAATAAACAATATATACATATTGAGAAAAAAAGAATCAAGAAAAACAGGATGGTAATATTAGAGATATAAAAGATTAAGAGAGATTCAAGAGACTTGGCAAGCAAATGTGTTGTGTAGGCCATGTTTTCCCTCTGTTTTAAAGAAATAAACTGGGTTAATCAGCATTTCATTGCTTTAACCAAAATACGCAACCATAACAACTTACAAGAGGAAAAGTTTATCTTGGCTTCCAGTTCCAGAGGCTTAGTCCTTGGTCAGTTGAGTCTATTGCTCTAAGTCCACGGTGAATTAGAACATTATGGTAGAAGGGGATGGTAGAGACAGCTGCTCCATTCATGGCAGCAAGGAAGCCAAAAAGAGGAAAGGGGGGGAAGGGGACACAGAAAAGATGAATGCATCAGTGACTCACCTCTTCTGGCTGCACCCACCTGCCTAACAGCTCTCACAACCTGATAATTTGACCTCTAAACATTCCTGCATTGATTATGCTAAGTGAAGCTAGCCAAGCCCTAAAAAACAAATGCCAAATGTCTTATTTGATATTATGAGAGCAACTAAGAACAGAGCAGGGAGGAAGAGCATGAGGAAAAGATTAACGTTAAACAGAGACATGAGGTGGGAGGGAAAGGGAGAGAGAAGGGAAATTGCATGGAAATGGAAGGAGACCCTCATTGTTATACAAAATTACATATAAGAGGTTGTGAGGGGAAAGGGAAAAAAAAAAGGGAGAGAATTAAATTACAGCAGATGGGGTAGAGAGAGAGGGAGGGTGGGGAGGGGGGGATAGTAGAGGATAGGAAAGGTAGCAGAATACAATAGTTACTAATATGGCATTATGTAAAAATGTGGATGTGTAACCGATGTGATTCTGCAATCTGTATTTGGGGTAAAAATGGGAGTTCATAACCCACTTGAATCTAATGTAAGAAATATGATATGTCAAGAGCTTTGTAATGTTTTGAACAACCAATTTAAAAAAAAAAAAAACATTCCTGCATTAACACAGGAGCTTTGGGGGGGTGGGGAAGATGCCTCATGTCTAAACCATTACACAAACCAACCACAATAAGATATTTTTAGGTATTAAATCATTAAAATCATATTAAATATGAACCAAGTATTAGATGATATTAAGAAATTGTTAAAATTTAAGTGTGATAGTAACATTGTGGTTATATAAAAATAAAAATGTCCTATTGCATTAGAGATGAATAATGAAATATTTATGAATGAAATGGTGTGTATCAGATTTGGTCTAGAATGTTCCAGGTTTATTTAAGAAAGCAAAAAAAAAACCCAAAAACAACAACCACCATGAATGGGGGGGTTGGCAAATGTTTGTTATATTAAAGCTGAATAATGGAATATGGTGGTTTATTTTATAATTATCTCTTGTACATTGAAAAGTTTTCATAAGTAATTTTAAAAACTAAATCAATTGTAATTCCATAAAATAAGAAAAATGTCTGAAATGTCTGGAGGCACATACTTCTCCTTGACCCTAATGAATACCTAAGAAAAAAATAGTGTACAAGCTTGTAATTACTTGTGTTATTTATTAAGTCAGTTCATATTTTCTTTGTAAAGGAGTTATAGATAAGATTTTGAAGTGTGCTGTTATTTTGGCCAAATTTCTTCTTAAATGAAACAAACAAAAATAGCCTGGAGAAAGATTTTAGAGTTTTGAGAAATTCAGGTAAAGTATGGTATCTTTTTAAAGATTCCCTTTTTAATATTTTCTGTTAGCACAACAAATCAGAAGCTATGGGCTGTAGAACTTCAGAAGACAATCTCCAGAGACAATAAGTATGTGCTGCTGGCTTCTGAACAGTTGGTAGGCGTCTGCCTGTTTGTTTTTATCAGACCACAGCATGCTCCTTTTATCAGGTCAGTAAACAGCACTCTTCTAAGGCTACTTTCTACCACTAAATATCTATAAAAAGGGCTAGAATATTGCTTCAGGGAAACACTTATCTGTAGTTCTTGTTTCAAAGGGATGTTGCAGTTGATACTGTGAAGACTGGAATGGGAGGTGCAACTGGAAATAAAGGAGCAGTTGCAATCCGAATGCTCTTCCATACAACAAGCCTTTGCTTCGTCTGTAGCCACTTTGCTGCAGGGCAGTCACAAGTCAAAGAGAGAAATGAAGATTTTGTAGAAATAGCACGAAAATTAAGTTTTCCTATGGTAAGCTTCTGTTGCTTGTCCTTGAAAATAAAGCTCTGAAATGTGTTTTTAATTACCTCAAATTCTATATTACGGTTTTTGAAAATTTAAGTTAGTTCTTAGAAACATCAACAGTATTCACCTTTAGAGATAATTTCAGGTGTTGTTACTATTGGGTTAAAGAAACAGAATTGTGGGAGGGGAGGCATATCTGAGGCAACAAAATAATGTAAAACATTTATACAAGTTGTTTTGAACATAAAATTCCATCTCATGCTTTCAGGGAAGGATGCTCTTTTCCCATGACTATGTATTTTGGTGTGGTGATTTCAACTATCGAATTGATCTCCCTAATGAAGAAGTCAAAGAACTCATAAAACAGCAAAACTGGGATTCTCTTATAGCAGGAGATCAACTTATCAATCAGAAAAATGCTGGGCAGGTACCTACATGCTTGAGAAGTTATTTGCATTGAGAAGGGATTTGGGGTTATAAAACATGCTTTCCTTAATCAGTTTTTTTAATTTCTTGGATGATATTTATACTTATGTGTAGATAAGCAGATATAGAATTACCTCTCTTGAGAATCAAGAGAGAGAGAGCATGCTCATGTGTGGCATACAGAGCTCATTATAATTCCCAGAAAGAAAAATGTGTGTCTGTAAGACTCACTTTCAAGTAGAAAGTATACTTTTGGTGGGCACAATTGGTGGTAATAGTTTTTAATTTTAATTTCCAGGGTTATTGGTTTTGGTATTTAAGAGCATAGGATAATCTTTTTAAAGATTTTTTTTAAGATGGACACAATATCTTTATTTATTTTGTTTATTTTTATGTGGTGCTGAGGATCGAACCCAGTGCCTCACATGTGCGAGTCAAGCGCTCTACTGCTGAGCTATAAACCCAGCCCCATAGGGTAATTTATTTTGTTGTTTTCTTCTGTTTTATCATCTGCCCTTTTTTTGGAGGGGGTGGATACCAGGGATTGAATTCAGGGGCACTTGACCACTGAGCCACATCCTCAGCCCTATTTGTATTTTATTTGGAGACAAGGTCTGACCGAGTTGCTTAGTGCCTCACTTTTGCTGAGGCTGGCTTTGAACTTGAGATTCTGCTTCAGCCTTCCAAGCCGCTGGGATTATAGACGTGCACCACTGCACCCAGCTCTCATCTGCTTTTTTGAAACTTTATGACCACAAAATTTTGGAAGAATTTATTTTAAAAAAATAGTTGGAGCCCACCTGATACAATGCCTGGGGATCATAAGATGTGAATTCTTATACTCTAGGTACCATTTAACAGTTTTAGACATCAGCTCTGTATTTGGGAATAAGTTGTAAGACTAGATGACTTCCAAAATTCCAAACTGTTTTCAATGTCTCCTATAGCTTAAGGACATAGAGAATTCCCTTATTCATGTTTTTTTAAAAAATATGTTTAATGAAAGGTTAAACAAGTGCTAAGGAAAAGGCCACATTCATTTTTTGTTTTTGTGGTTTTTTTAAAACTTTATTCCATTTAAAGTGTTCATTAGATGATACAAATTTCATTCCAGGGTATTTAGTACATAATAGATATTTAATGAATGATTGCCTGAACAAAAACAGAACTTTTGTGCATTTTACAATAACTTGCTTTGTGTATGTTTATTTTAGATTTTTAGAGGATTTTTGGAGGGAAAAGTAACCTTTGCTCCTACCTATAAATATGACTTATTTTCTGATGACTATGACACCAGTGAGAAGTGCCGCACCCCTGCGTGGACAGACCGTGTCCTCTGGAGGAGGAGGAAGTGGCCGTTTGATAGATCAGGTTGGAAAATGGACTTCTTTATTTAGGTGAATTAAAATGATATAAAACCAATGAAGAAGAAGAAAGCTAATTCTTTTCAACAAAAGTTACCTAGAATAAAATAAATAAAACTTAGATATGACATTTTTAAAAATAATCTGTTTTTAGTGGCATAATTTCATAAAAAGAGAAGGCAGGAAACTTTAAAAATTTTTCAATTGAATACTCATTCAAGTTTTTAGGTTGAATAAATAAAGTGGTCTGTGTGTACTTTGAACTGCCACTTGTCTATTGAATTATTATAAAACACTATTTGGTCACAGGCCTCTAAGTAAACTTTAGAAGTAAGGCCACATTATAATTTTTACTAAATAAACAATAGAATGATAAAACTACTAAAAAAACCTTTGTAATTTAAAGGTGTCTAGACTTCCTGTCCATTAACAAGGGTGTCTGGCATTCCGGCCTTAGACAACTAAAGCTAAGGAAAGGAAAGATATGCCTCTTTGCTGCACATGATCTGTCCTGATCATATGGTCTTGTGTTTTGTTCTGACTGCAGCTGAAGATTTAGATCTTCTAAATGCTAGTTTTCAAGATGAAAGCAAAATACTGTACACGTGGACTCCTGGCACTTTGCTGCATTATGGAAGAGCTGAGCTGAAGACTTCTGACCATAGGTTTCAACTGTCTCAGTATTTCTAATGGTGCTTGAAGTTGGTTTGAAATACATCCTTTTAAAAATATTTCTAACACATCTATCTTCCTTTATGTTTTCAGGCCTGTTGTTGCCCTGATTGATATAGATATATTTGAAGTTGAAGCCGAAGAGAGGCAAAACATTTATAAAGAAGTAATTGCAGTTCAGGGTCCACCAGATGGTACAGTATTGGTTTCAATCAAAAGTTCTTTGCAAGAAAATAATTTTTTCGATGATGCATTAATTGATGAGCTCCTGCAGCAGTTTGCAAATTTTGGTGAAGTTATACTCATAAGGTAAGTAAAATATTTGTTATCCAAAAGCAGCTCATGATTCATAAACAATAGTTTCCTGTATCACAAATCACCTAATTGGTGTTTTAGTAATGTATGAATATTTTTATTTCCAAACTAAAGAAAAATCATACTATAGATGTTATTCAAAGAGCTCATAGGTTTTGAAACTGAATTCTCTACTTAGAAAGCTTAAATTGAATAATGAAAATTTTATATGAACAATTGAAGAGAGAAATATGTGCAAATTCAGAGATGACTTCTTGAGATTCCTACACAATGTAATGTATAACCCAGCTCTATAACAAAGCTGTGATTATTTTTTTAAGGAGTGATAAAAGTTAAGTGGAGAGATTATCCCTTCTTCAGATTAAGAAATGTGATGTTTAGATTAGTTTAAGTCTGTTTAATTTCCAACAGAGAAATGGTGAACAGTTAGGAGTCATTCGATTCAGTCTTGGTTTCCCTCATTGGTTTAACATCTGCCCTTTGCAGAAGCAGATGCTTCTTTTCTTGTTTTAAAAATGTTCTCTCCCATATGTGTAGCAGTTTTGAGAGATTGAATGACATGTGTATTTGAATGCCATAGAGAAAAAAGTACTATTAAATGCCTTTTTGTGGTGTTTGCTTTCTTAGGTATGTTTACAGATGTTCAATGAGCAAATCTCTTTACTAGGTGCTATGGAAGAGCAGAGGAGCACTTGATGCAACTTCTGCTTGTAGTCTTGTTGGGAAGAGCCACATAATAAACTTCCCTGTATTCTAAAAGTACAGTTCACAGATGGTGTGCTTTCTGTAGAATGAAAATCATGCCTGAGACACCATAGAAGTAAATGAGGAAATTGTATTTAGACTTCCCTCAGATTTTTTGACAACAATATTTTAAACCTTAAAAAGAAAACAAAAATCTTTCAAAATTTTAGGGCTCTAGGAAGTACATAATGAAATCTTCCAAGTTCACAGATGCCAGTAAGCTCTGCCAACTACAGAAATGCCATACCACCAAAAGGATCTGTGCACTGTGTGAGTGGGCAGCAGAGTAGCCAATAAGCATCCTCATGAGTAAATGTGAAATACTGCACTCAAATGAGTCCAGATTGTGTAAGGAATGAAAGGTTGATAAAGGAAAGGGACCTATCTGTCTTTGTAACCCACTGGGATTTTCTTAGCTCAAAATTGGAGCCAACAGCATTCCTCAAAATGCTTATTATCATGATTGGAAAAAGTATTGGTAAGAAAATAAGGTGACATTAATATAAAACTGTGAGGTGTCTCCACACTTGGAATATTCATTGTTATACCTTATGGTAGCCCAGTTGATAAAGAAAAAGCAAGCAATGAAAGTAGGCAAAGAAACAAAAATAAACAAAACTGTAAGCATTAAAACTAAATTATTCCTTTTTGGTCTAGAAGAAGCCATTAAAGAATAACTGAGTCTGTAAACGCCTTTAAATTTAAATAAGAGGTTCCAGGAAATGTAGACAGGACAAATTTGGATACATTTAAATATATATATTAATTGAAGGAAAAGACTATTGCTTTTAGGTTAGTGGTGAAAGTAGGAAGAAAATACAGTTGCTAGAGGACCTACTTAAATCCATGAATGTCTAAAAACCGAAATCTCTTGTTAAAGTTAAAAATGTGTAAGGGTCACTGTGTTAATTGAGGATAAGGACCAAGAAATTCTTTTATGACCTAGAATCATAAAAGCTTTGGTACCATGATCAAAGAACAAATAACGTTCAGCGTTGGGGAACTGGTGCGGCCTCAGTGCAGCCCTAACAGGTGGTTGTGACCTTTGAAGAGGAATATCATCTGTTGCCAACATTGTGAAAAAGATACCTTCATATTCTCTAAGAATAATATCTCTGTATGAGAATGACAGCATCTTGACATTACAGCATCCTGCATCCTGCAGCTTAATAACTTTATGCCAAAGAAATTGAATCAGTTACCTTGGTCATGTTTTAGTGATTATAAAAATCTGTTCCAGGCCCTTGATTTCAATGGGGTAAAGTACTGTGTGCACTTTTGCTTAATATCCGTAATGTATACCTTTGAGTCCTAGTGTGAAAGTGTGCATGCACGTAGGTGTCTGTGTGTGTATCATAGATATTTTCTCTATATAGTTGCAAATGGTTCAACTCATAAGATTGTTTCTGTAAACAAGATTGAGAGTTTTATTTTACTGTTTTGTTCTTTTTAGCACAATAATTTTATTATATAACAGTGACCGTCCTTGAAACTTGTTCTAATGTTCTTTTTTTTATTTCCCCTTTGGAGGTTTCATTTCATTTCAAAAGTATAAACTTAAGATCATACCAAAGACCATTGAAGGGCCAAGAGTTGTATTGTCAAGAACTGAAGACAGACTATAACCTAAGACTTCTTGTAACCTGGTGTGTGTGTGTGTGTGTGTGTGTGTGTGTGTGTGTGTGTGTGTGTGTTGTGTGTATCCGTGTCTGTCTGTCTGTCTCCGGTGGTAACTCCCTATCATCTTTCTTGATCAAATGTCATTTAAGGAAGACACTGAGACAATAAAAATACATACTCCTGGACTACAGGGTTAGGAGACTTGTATCTTTGCTCTGTAGTTTACTCTCTTTATATTTAAGATCACTTTGAACAAGGCGCATTTCTTCTGCCTGTTTTATTAGCATAGTGTTTGAAAGAACAGGGATTGAAATGTGAGGAGGAAGAGTGCCCTCTCCAGGTGATCATCAGCCTACTGTCCTCCCTCCTTATACTCCTGACCTCTGTCAGCCTGTTTATCAGTAATCAGTGGACTTTAGTCATTGAGTTAGTTATATCTAAAGAATTAATTGTTTTTTTATTGCTTTTATCTTTATTAAAGATTTGTAGAAGATAAAATGTGGGTTACATTTTTGGAGGGAAGCTCTGCATTGAGTGTTCTGAACCTAAATGGTAAAGAGGTAAGTTAGTTGTATTGATTTTAAGCCATTCTGAAATTGTCTGTTGACTCTACTTTTAAGCCTGCAACAAGATTATCTTTAATGTATTTTCAGTTAATGAGGTAAAAGACCTTGTGGTATGCTTAAGACATTATTTCATTTTTTAAGTTTAGACTAATTATCTGATTAGGTTAGGGTTACTGTAGTCCCTCCCTAAAGATTTTTTAATTTGTTATTTTTGGATATACATGATAGTATAATGTATTTTGACATGCATACATTGGAGTACATTTTATTCTAATTAGGATCCCATTCTTTTGGTTGAACATAATGTGGAGTTACACTCTTGTGTTCATAGGAACATAGGAAAGTTATGTCTGATTCATTCTACTATCTTTCCTATTCCCATCCTCCCTTTCCTTTATTCTTCCCCTCTGTCTGAACTAATGAGCTTTTGTTCTTCCCTTTCCCACCCTTATTGTGTGTTAGCATCTGCTTATCAGAGAGAACATTTGGCCTTTGGTTTTTTGGAATTGGCTTATTTCACTTAGTATGATAGTCTCCATCCATTTACCATTAAATGCCATAATTTCATTCTTCTAGAGATAACTGAGTGATATTCCATTGTGTGATATATAGATAGATAGATATATATATCTCACATTTTCTTTAATCATTCATCTGTTGAAGGGTACCTAGGTTTGTTCCATAGCTATTATGAATTGAGCTGCTCTAAACATTGATGTGGCTGTGTCACTGTAGTATGCTGCTTTGAATGAAGTCTTTGGGGGCATATACAGAGGAGAGGGATAATGGGTCAAATGGTTCCTTTCCTAAGGATAAATTCTTAAGTGTATATTTGCTAAGTCAAAGAATATAGACATATTGAGTTTTAATACTCATTTCCAAACTTTCCTTCAGAAAAGTTTTATCCAGTTATACTGTACACAGGTTTATCTCTATCTTACATCTTAATTAATACTAGATCTTTTAATTTTTTACTTTGAAAATCTGAAAGACACAGAATTGTATATCATCTGGTTTTAAGACTGTGATTGCTAGAAATTGAGTGTTTTTTTGTCTTTTAGTTACTTCAAGGCTTGTTTGTGGTGCTGGGGATGGACTGCAGGGCCTCAAGCTTGCTGAACAGTGCTCTACCTCGAGTCATATCCTCAGCACCAGCCCATTTTCCACTGGCCTGTTCCTCTTTTGAAGCTCCTTTTATGTTAAAGATATTAATTTCTTGTTAAGTATGCTGCAAATATTTTTTCCTAATTTGTCTTGTAACTTTATTGTGTTTTAGCTATATAAAAATGACTGATTTTTAAATTTAATTCTAGTTTTGGTCTCTTAAAAAACCTCTTCTTTTTCCCCTGATGATATAAATATTAAAGAGCAACTCTATATTTGACATTCCTTGACAGCTCTCATTTCCTCTTGGAGTGTTTCTTTTTTCTTTCCTGGATAATCTAATTTTCCTTGTTTTGTTTTTTCCCCTTCTTTTCCATTCCATCACTCACCCTCAAGTCTAGATGAAATCTATAAATTTGGAAATTTTAAAAGATTTCCAAAAATCTGCAGAAGTTATATTTGTGGAAAGTATATGATTGATCTTTTGAAGGTTACTCATTTCCAGACTTCCTGTCTGTTTCCTTTATTAATACCATTATTTCAATCCTAAATTTTTCAGGATTAATAAAATTTATTCCATTTCAGAGGAGATTCTGGGAAAGGTATACAGTATACATGGGACAAATCAGGAAGGCCTTCTTGAGCATTTTCTTTTCTGTCATCTTAATTCCTTCCCTTTTATTTGGCTCTGATCTCTACCAAGTGGATATTCCTAAGGAATTGTATCTTAAATGACCATTTTGTACTAGGGTGCTTTTTAGACTTCTTTGGTGAATATAAAAGAATTTTATTGGGGCTCGGATTGTAGCTCAGAGGTAGAGTGCTTACCTAGAATGCTCAAGGCCCTGGGTTTGAATCTTCATCACCACATTAAAAAAATAAAATAAAACCACCTATAAGTAAAAAATAATTTTAAAAAAGAATTTTATTGATTTTAACAAGTAATAAATGACCTGTAAAGCATGTGGCTAATTTATGAAATTGAATTGATTTTAATACTTGGACTAATAATCAAGTGATAGATTATTAATTCTATGTACTCTGACTTCAAAACTTAATGTGGATGCCAAATTACTATTAAATACAACTTTGCCATTTAGATTACCAACTTTTCAACCTTTGTGTCTTCAAGGAATTCTAATATCAATAACACATTCAGCCAGGGAAGCTCTGCACCCACAAAGATGCCAACTTTTAGCACAGCATATTGATCAGAGGTACACAGTTCATTTGCAAATACCAAAAGAATTTCCATCTTGTTCATGTCAAAAAACTTCAAACAAAAGAATTTGGAACTGTGTGTTTTATAACTTATGTAGAAAGCAAGTTTGTTACACTTAATATGGGTTTTAAGTGAGAATTTCTTTTTTGTGCACAATCTGACAATTCTTGACCAACTAGTCTTAAAGCCGTTGGAAAGTTTTTTAAAGTATTTTAAAAATATTTCAATATGACATGGCACAACTTGATTATAACATGTTGTTGGTTTAATTAAATAATATTTTAGTGTAAAAAACACTCAAATTTATAGCAAAGGCAGAGTGTCAGTTTTGCAGATGACTGTTGTTCTGTTTTTAGAATGATTAATTTTTGTGGAAGATTTAAAATGATGTTCAGTTCTCACAATATTCTAAATGCTAACACTGTATAGGTTAAAGATACTCTAACATGTCTTCTATATATTTTTTTCATATAGCATCAGTTATTTCTGTTATTTATTACTTTATTTTAATCTGATGATCAAAATAAAATACAAAATTGGGTAACAAAGTTGTCAGGGAATTTACAGCTGGCCAAGAAGAGGTACTGACTGTGGTAAAGGAAACTTGAATCTTTGTGCAGCCTAGAAAAGAAGACCTTTATATATAGCATCACAAGCCTTAAGGGGAGAATTGGGAATAGCCTTCAAACTAGTTAAAAAGTGGAAGAATTATGTTGAATTGAGTCTAATTAAATTAATCATTTATACCATTGCGTAGTATGACTAAGGCAGCCTCTTTCTTCCAAAATAATAGTTTTCATATTACTGAATTTTATATCTTTTTTATTCAACTAGTTATTGAGCCGGACAATAAACATTACTTTAAAAAGTCCAGACTGGATAAAAAATTTGGAAGAAGAAATGAGTTTAGAGAAAATTAGTGTCACATTGCCTTCATCAACAAGCTCTACCCTGCTTGGTGAAGATGCGGAGGTTGCAGCAGATTTTGATATGGAAGGTTCGTTTGTTTGTTGAATAGGTTTACTTCTGTAGTGCTGGGAAGTTTATTTCCCATCAGTAAAGTCTTAATGCCAAGTTTATTTTTCTCTTCCTCCTTGGGACACACATAGAAGTATTAATTAGGATTTATGTGCCAGGTACGTGCCAGGTGCTGGAAATCCAATGACTTTGGCCCTTGCTGTCCTAGAATTCATTGCTTCACAGGCAGTTATAATAAAGTGGCATCAAAGTGATAATGAATGGTACTGTAGTAGCTCATAATAAAATTGCCTGGCCTGGATTTGAGGAGTTGGGTGAGGTTTCACAGAGGAATTGAAATTTAAAAATCTGAAGACTGAGGGGGGAATTGTATTAAAGAGGATAGATTAGAATGACTTAGGGAGAAAGCATACGTATAGGCCTGAGAGGGAGAATGAAGATCTAAATTCATTATACAAGAGTGTTTCTGAGGGAGAAAAAAAATGCAGCAGGAGGAACAATTGTGGGGTGGAAAATGAATTTCATTCTGAATATGTGGGATTTGAAATGTCTGTGGGTTCAGGAGTTCCAGATATCAGCTCTTGAAAATGTGGCTTTGGTGCTCAGGAGAAAGCTCTGGACTCAAAAGGTAGCTCTAATGGCCAATAAAGACACGGTTATTTAATACTCTGGCTTAGTATTAGGGTTATGTAGAGACAAGAGAAAGAATTTAATATGGAAAAATAGTCCTGAGATAGAATATGAATATACAGTTCAAGGAAAGGCAGAGGCTGCTCAGTAAAGGGAAATGAGAAGAAACAACTAAAAATGTCAGGGACTCAGGAGAATTTTGTAGTTTAAAAATTGAGGAAAGAAAATATAACAAGGAAGGAGTAGTTCGTGGTATCTTGGAGACAGAGAGATGAGTAGAAATAAGGATAGAATCTTGACCTTCTGATTAAATAACAGGGAAGAAAGCTGTCAGTGACCTTCGTAGGAGTAATTTCAGTGGTTGTTGGAGCCAGATGGAAGAAACTGTCATGGGTGGAAGGTGAAGAAGTGGAGGGGGTGTAGAAGCTCTTTAAGGAAACCTGGCTAAAAGTGGTAGATAAGAGGACAAGTGCTTCATGGAGATGGGGCGGTGGGGGGGGGGAGATGCAGCGGTAGTTTTGTTTGTTTTTTCAACTAGAAGAGGCTTGAGTGTGCTTCATACTAATGGAAGAGAGCTGCTAGAAGAGAAAGGACTGATGAAGAAGGGCAGGACAGAATAACAGCAAGATCACTAAGCAAATGGGGTTATTAGGACCCCATTTGTTCCATCCACAAATATCTGAGTGCTGAGCATGGAATTAGACTCCAGCCTGCAGGCAGGTTGTGTGTGTGTGGAGGGAGGCGGGGGTCCCATCTTAGGACTGTGAAATGTAAGTGTTGAAGTTATCTATCTGCAGGAGTGGAACAGTTCACAATTTCAGAAGAGTCAGGAAGCTTCAAGATAGTTTCTGAGAGGGGTGAGGGGAAAAGTCAACTAGGAAATCGTGCAGTTTCCAGGCAGCTTTGAGAGCCCATAAGAGACTGAAAACCATAAATTTAATACATTGTCCACAAGTCACACAGAAAGATGGTAGGACTCAATTTGCCATCTTGCTGCCTTCTTAGTCCTTGACAAACACGTTTAAGAGACCAGAAGGGCGGAGGTTGGAGATAACTGCAACAAGTGAGGTAGAGTGTTAAATAAATCTCTGATAGCATAGCTTCAAAAGAAAATAGGACATTTTTAGAGGTAGAAAATTAATGTTCTGGAGTTGGAATTAGGTTATAAGGGGCACCCTGACCCCACTTTCCAGCCCTGAGGTAAGTAGAGATGAGGACACCTCAGGGGAGACTGATGTTCATCTAAAGCAAAGAGGGTCTGTATTGTGGGGATCGTGAGGGAGGAGACTTCTGGGGAAGGGTGTGTGGCTGCCTGCCCAAGAGCTTATTTCCTATAGAACCAGACCTGAGCCGGGCAGGGAAGCAGGGCAGCTCCGTAGAGACAGTAGACAGGCGTGGAGGGAGAGCAGTCCACTTCTGAGTCTGCACCAAGGGAATGGCAGAAGCCCATTTGGTCACTCCAGCTTGAAGTAGTGGTGCTCTGAGGTAACAGGTGTATTTACATTTTCTGTAAGAGCATTTGTACTATTTCTAATTTTTTTTACATATAAATCTTTTAAACATGCTTATGTGCTTAGTCCATGTGTTTTGGCAAAGTCCTAATGTTAAGGACTTTCATTTGTGTATTTAAATCACATAAAACATCTTTGAATAAGTTGAAATGGGCCTCTATCTAACACCTCTCTTTCCTTAGGTGATGTTGATGACTATAGTGCTGAAGTAGAGGAGCTTCTTCCTCAACATCTCCAGCCATCTTCAAGTTCTGGCCTTGGCACTTCCCCAAGCTCTTCACCCAGGACTAGTCCCTGCCAGTCACCCACAATATCAGAGGGTCCTGTACCTTCCCTTCCCATCAGACCAAGCCGAGCACCATCCAGAACTCCTGGGCCTCCTAGTTCACAGAGTGTGTATTTTACTTGAACATTTTGTATAGACTTTCTCTAACCAGTGTGTTTGATTTTAGAGAGCCACTATTGCCTAAATCTTGTGCCTATATGATGAGTACCTGCATACAAAAGAGGAAAATTTGCAGATGATAAATTTTCAATGAAAAAGAAACTCATTGCCATTGATGCTACAAGATGAAAATTTTCTTAATTCTTTTTCTATGGGGTTAGCATTGTCTGTGTCTTACAGTTGATGATTTTCTATTGTTCTGGTAAGAATCCATAACTGTTTGGGCCTTTCATTCTTTTTCTCTACTGGCCAACAGACTTCCCATGACTTAACTAATACTTTGTACTTCTTAATAGGGTCACTTAATACATCAGCTTTTAACACCTGGGCCTAGATAAGAAGTCAGTATAGAATTAGTATCATTGTGGCTGTGGTACCAAAGGGAAGTTTAATGGTAGATTTGAGTGCTTTTTTTTTTTAAATTCATACTGAAAATGGGTATCATTTCTCTATGTTCATATATAAATTTTTTAAATTAGCAAAATAGGACATTTTAATATGTATTTATGAAGTACATTCCTTTCTGCCAAAGCCCACTTGTCTCCTGATCTTCTTACCTACTGTACTTTCTTCAGGTTCTCCTGTTGACACTCAGCCTGCAACCCAATCACAGCAGAAGGATTCTTCTCAGACTTTAGAGCCCAAGCGGCCACCCCCTCCTCGCCCAGTTGCTCCTCCCACACGTCCTGCCCCTCCACAGAGACCACCTCCACCTTCAGGTAACTAACCACTTTATTTTCATTTCTGCTAAAATTTGAAATTTTACTCCACTTTATTTTAAAATGTTCTGCATCTTTTCATATCTCAGGCTTCTAGTTTTATTGTTTTTCATCATTGTTGTTACTGCTACACCTTTTCTCAAAAGAACACGGTAGGTGCGTCAAAACAAGTAAAACATTTTTTACCAAGTAAATTCCTCCAGCATGTTTTCAGAACTGCCTTTCTTACTAGTGTTCAAGATGTATTTGTTTTGGTTTTGCTAAGTTGATGTAGTCAGAAATAAAAATTGTTCGTAAGTAAAACTAGCTTTAGTTTTTAAAAAAATCCTCATTTTTGGCTTTATAAATTCATTAAAATTGACTAATTTCTATAAGTTGCATGGTTATAACTAAAGAGCATGCATATTATTTAATAAAAAAGTTTTATATATTTGTTTAAATGTTCCTTTTTCCCCACATTTTTATTGGACATTATAGTTGTACATAATGATGGGATTTGTTGTTATATATTTGTCTTGCATACAATATAACAATATAATTTGGCCAGTATATTGCAGTTACAGTGTTGTTACTCTAATAATTATGAATATGTGCATTGAACAAAAGCTTTTTAATAGTATCTAGATAACTATGTTTAATTCCTGACACTTGACATCATGAATACTCTAGCTAATCTTGACATGTCAATTCTTTATTTAATGTCATTTCCTTTCTGCTGCATATTTCTTACGAACTATAAGGGGCTAGGAGTCCTGCACCTGCTAGAAAAGAATTTGGAGGTAACCATTTACAATTGTTATCATGTATGCATCTTGGTTCATTAATGTTTTAGAGTTTGATCCCTATTATTGAGAGACATTTTAGATTTGTTTGGTAACAGTCAAGGTGAATACATTAATACCCCCAATTAAAAATGGCTCCAAACTTCTATTCTTTTAAGTTAGCTGTGCATGGTGGTGCATGCTTATTATCCTTGCAGTTCAGGAGATTGAGGCAGGAAAGTCAAAAGTTAGAGACCAGCCTCAGCAGATTAGCAAGGCCTTGAGCAACTTCTTGAGACCCTGTCTCAAAATAAAAATATAAAAAAAGGATTAGGGATGTGGCTCAGTGGTAAAGCACCTCTGGGTTCAATTCCCTGTACCCAAAACATAAATAAGTTAAAACTTTATTTCAGATCCCCCCCTCATCCCTCCCTCCCTTTTTTTTTTTTTTTTTTTTTTTGGTGTTACTGGAGACTGATCTCAGGGGCACTCAACCACTGAATCATATCCCCAGTCCTATTTTGTATTTTATTTAGAGACAGGATCTCATTGAGTTGCTTAGCATCTCGTATTTTATTTAGAGACAGGGTCTCACTGAGTTACCTCGCCATTGCTTAAACTGGCTTTGAACTTGTGTTCCTCCTGACTCAGTCTCCCGGGCCTCTGGGATTACAAGAGCAGTACACTGCGCCTGGCTTTTTTTCCCCTTTGTGATTGTGAAATATTACAGCTTATATTAGTGATTTAACTCTGGATATAAAAAATGAGATAATTCAAAAAAAGGCTTTCAATAAACATATTGTTTGATTCCCTAATGCAGATAATCTCAGATATAAAAAAGAAAGTTGTTACCCCACTTTTATTGTTAGAGTTTAGGGGTTTTGTTTTGTGTTTGCAGTGCTAAAGATAAAACACAGTACCTTGTGCATGCTAGGCAAATACTCCTCCACTGAGCCTTATTCCTTGACTTGAAGAAAGGGAGAATTGAGTTTTGGGCTCAGCATCATTATTTTCACTTTGGGGGCCAGGGATGAGGCTTAGTGGCAGAGTGCTTACCTAGCTGTGTAAGATTTAAAGTAATAAAAGAGCCTTTGTGCAAAACTAATTGTGTACCTGCCTTTCATTTTGTGCTGTGGGCCCTGAACAATATATAGTTTTTGTTCTTTCTTTGAAAAGGTATTGGAGCCCCTCCCAGTCCTGGGGTAGCTAGGAGAGAGATGGAAGGTAACAAGACTTTTGCATTATAGAAATGGTTCTCTCACTTTATTTCTAAATGTCAGCCCTCCAGTGTTTAAAGGCACATGAATCTTTTCTTAGTCCAATTGTAAACTTTCACTCTCCCTCCTTATGTATACCTTGTACTTCTTTGCTTTTCATTCTGTGTTGTGTGTATGTTTCTAATAGCTATCTTCTTAATTTCCCCAAGATTTATATGTTATTTGTGCTCTTGTTTAATTATTTCATGTATATTTAGGTTGTGAAATTAACCACTTAAAAGAATGCCACCATCTTCTACAGGCAGATATTTGGTAATATGACAGATATATGCCTGCCTTCTGTCTCATACAATTTAGCTGTGAATCCAGAAGTTCTCATCATAACTTTATGTACAGTAATACAATATGAAGCCCCATGAGGAACCACTTGTGTAACTTGAAGAAGATAGCCCTGCCTACTGCTCAGGAGCCATTTGTCTGCCAAGCTCTGAGGAGAGGCAGTTTCAATGGCCACTGCTTGTGACCATTCATGCAGCTACCCTGTGTTCTCAAGGTTCACGAACAGAGAGCTCTGTGAGGACTATTGCCTTAAAGTGAACCAGCGAGTGAAGCTTCAGACAGCTACTCTTGTCTCTTATAAAGTTCTCTCTTATTAATTTTTCTCTTTTGGAGTATTTCATTTAGGAACAGTAATACCCACATCCTTGACCAAAGCTAAGTACTTTGTTAAGTACTCTCTGCTGGTAATGAAGTAGAACAACCAACTGATATTATACAATATTATTTTATTGTTTATTTATGACTAATTTTTTTTTCCTTCCTGCTTCAAAGCACCCAAAAGTCCTGGAACAACACGGAAAGATAATATAGGTAAAAACACTTAAATATAGTTACTTACTCTTAAAACTGGACCATGAAATAGACACTTGGACTATAAGTACATGGTTTCTAGTTCTTTTTGTTATTTTTACACTTAAATATATGATGCCCGTCTTTGTTCCAGGACGGAATCAGCCTCCGCCTCAAGCAGGACTTGCAGGCCCAGGACCTGCTGGATATGGTGCAGCCAGACCGGTAGGTATCACCTAGCCTCAGAGCCAGAGGATCTCAGTTTTGGATCCCAATTTGCTACTATTCAGTTTTCTTACCTTGGAGAAACCATGTGACTCTTCTAGGCCTCAGTTTCCTTAACTCTTAAAGTAAGGAAATTGATGATCTCTCCAAGGTAGCTTCCAACTCTTAACATTATTTCCACGTTTTTTGAAATAAACTATTACTTGGATAAAAGTGATATACTTAACTATTTTATCATATTAAATATCTTCATCTTTAAGTATATGAGAAGGTGATATTTTGGTCAGCTATTTATCATGTTATGTAAGTAATTAATGCTTACATAGACCATCCTTCAATAAGAAGGATTTTAGTTAGCAGGAAAAAAATATGACCAAATTGGGTACTAAAACTCTTCTGAAAAACAAGTAGTTTTCAAGGTTTTTTCTCTCCTTTATGAATCTACGGCATTCTGTATTTTTAGCATGTGTTCTGTTTTACACATAATTTGCCCAGTATTTATCCAAATGAAAATTTCCTTTGGTCTATAACAAGCAATCAAAAAGCAAGAGAAATAGGAACAGAAACCAATAATCAATAACTTTGGCCTGTGTAGTAGAGTGATCCCTATTTGATGAGTGGAGAACCTAGAGCTATCACGATACCTAGAAATGAAGGTTGTAGGAACCTAGGGAACTACTTTGCATGAATATAGAATTTTTTGCCTTTTCTGTTGTAGCTATCTATTTAACAAACTGAAGGTGATTTTCTGTATACAATATTACTCTCTGAATTAAAATGCCTGTAGAATATACCTAAAGATATCTATTACACACTGTATTTCAAAACGGAAAAATTGCCATGCACTGACTCTACTACCACACTTCCACAGAACTTTTAAAATTTTATTTAATACTGTAAGAATTGGGAAGGAAAGTCAGAATTTTTGTGGAGTTGAAAGCTCATATTAACTTGCTTAAAATAAGTATTGTGGGCTTAGAGCCCTCAGCACACATGAAAATAGAAAAATATATTTTCCACCATTGTATCTTCTAATGTATTTAATGTGGATTATTGAGTTAGTTGGTAAAGAGTTTTACTTCTGTGTTTAAAAAAATCTCAGGGTGAATTTTTCTGAAGTCTCTAGGAGCTCAGGTATATATATCTCTCTGTCTCCTCATATACATTAGCATTGTCTCAGTCTCTTCCATGAAGATTTTAAAATTTATTAATGTATGTGACGATAAGTAGAGAATAATTAAAATGACAAGATAGAGATTAATACCAGAAAGGAGAACAAATGAGATGAAAAAGCAGACATTTTCACAAAAATCTTACCTGTTGAAAATAAATAAATGTCTTAAGTGTTATATTTCCCACTGCAGACAATTCCTCCACGTGCTGGAGTTATAAGTGCCCCACAGAGCCATGCTCGGGCATCTGCTGGAAGACTGACCCCTGAAAGCCAAAGCAAGCCACTGGACACATCGAAAGGTAGATACTATATCAGAAATCCCAGTTTTGTACTTTTTCCTTTCACTTTTTTTCTTTCCCCTTCTGTTACCTGCCATGTTCCACAACTTACTCAAATAGGGATATACTTTCTTCTTCATGCCAATAGAAATGAACTATTTGTTGGGGCAAGAGGGAATAACAACTGGAATGTCCTCCTAACATTTCACCAAAGAAAGACAAACCATGGTTTTCCAGAACAGAGCTAATTTCTGACAATCATTGGTGTTTCAGGCTCAGCTCTCCTTCCAGAACCACTGAAGCCTCAGGCTGCTTTTCCTCCACAGCCTTCTCTGCCTGCCCCTGCTCAAAAGTTGCAGGAGCCTCTTGTCCCCTTGGCAGCACCTATGCCTCAGTCTGGCCCCCAGCCAAATTTGGAAACCCCACCACAACCCCCACCACGGAGCAGGTCTTCCCATAGCTTGCCTTCAGAATCTTCTCCACAGCTGCAAGTAAGTCTCATTATTAAACAAATTATTATCTTTGGTGTATACACTTAGAAACACAGTTATTCTAATCATTAACTTTTTTTAAGAATTACATAAGAGTTTTCATTTTTGCCATTTGGTATTAATAGCATCCTGTGTTAATGACTTTACCAAATAAATGTCATTTGACATCTCAGATTAGTCACATAACAAATGTATGTTCTGGTTATTTGGGGATTTTGAAGTTATTTTTCAGGCACTGCTTAGATTAAAAATTCTCAGAGCATTCCTAAACCAGGTTCTTTGGGGCATTTCCAAGTAGTTTCTCATGTTAATGTTAAAACTTCATGACTTTTTAAAATGCATAATTTACTTTCAATAGTTAATAATTTGGGATGAACAAGAACATTTTTATTTTTCTCATTGCTCACAATCATAAATTACTTTGGGCTTTCACTTCCTGAAGAGAGATTGGCCATTAACATGGTGGATAATTTCCAATACAGGGAAAATAATTTCTAGTTCCTTTTGATGTAAGCAGTAATTCTTTTCTGCATTGTAGCTGTCACTGGGGTTCATAAGGTATTTCAGTTAGTCATATTAGATCACTTTAGATGGTTTGTGCTTCTTAAAAACCATCAAAATAATAAATCATCTCATTAGTGTCTCTCAGAAAACAGTGCCATTGCCTTAGTGGGTTAAAATCCTATGATCAGAGAGATTCTTTGTTCTTTCACATTGGAGAGACTTCTGGTGGATATATACAAAATTATTTTATATAAATATAATCAAATAAATTGAACTTTTAATTTTCTTATTTATTATACACATATAAATAAAATTGTTAAAATGAAATTTAACAGGTGCATATTTTATGTTTTTTTTTGTCATATATAAATTCTTAACTTGAAAAATGTCATCGAGGCCAAGGAAATGTATAAAGTTTTAAAAATCTGCTTCCAAACTTTGGAAAGACCCAAATACAAAAAAATTGCAGTTTCCCTTAAGCATATTGATATATAGTAGTTTGCATTTATTTTTATACAATATGAATATACCCAGTTAGTTGCCAGAAGCTAATGGCTTCTTGTATTTTTACATGGTGAAAAAAAGATACTAAAGTAAAGACTCAAAACAATCTGGATATCATTAGCAGTTGGCATTCACATTTATAAAAGGATAGATATATAATAGAGAAAAATGTTTTAAAAATTAAAATAAGCTACCTTCACATTTTTTTTAACTTCAGAAAATTGAGGATACTGAAGATATTTAATAATGGTGGAAACCCTTCAAAGAATATATATCCACTTATTTTCCCTCTGTCACTCTCTTCTAATGAACCACAACTTTTTTTCTCACTCCCTCGTAATGTATACTATTGTATTTTAAAATGTAATTGGAGTGCAAATCAAGCTAGCCACTGCGAGCTCTTATTGTTTTAGGGCCTCTAGCCTAAAATAGAGTACCAAGTGCACATTAATTCCTAACACTATGTAATGTGAAGACAGATGCAGTTCTGTGCTGAGAAACTTCAAAAGTCATAACTGTCCAGGAAGATTGCAATTCATCTGTGGCACACAGGAGTGCAGTAGGAACATGCCAATAACCACCAAGCACCATTTTTCCACTGTTTTGATTTCTGGTTTTCATCGAAACTAGTATGATGATTTAATTTGATGACTGACAGCCCATGGTTTGTATGTAGCTTGGTAGATTTTGTTCTCAAAATTTGTTGTAGTCAGTTCATCAAAAATGACAAACATGATTATTACAGATTCTAAAGTTTCTTTTGCCTGAGTCATTGATATTAAATTCCTCTGAACACTATATACACAGAAACATATTTCCTTTTTTGAGGGTTGGAGGTTTTATTATGTGTAGACTATCTTTGTGAAGGATCACAAAGTGGTTGCAGTTTCCTCAGGGAATGTATAGTTTGGGGGTTCAAAAGGAAGGGTGGGTGTGGCTTTTTACCTTTCTAGTTTTTAGCCATAGGAATAATATCATTCAGAAATAATACACATTTAAAAAATTCTCTGAAGTAGCTATAACTTGAAAAATATGCAAGATTTTTCAATATTGACAAGGGTGAGATATTTATAAGAAATGTGGCATTTTGGCAATGGTATGAAAGAGTTTTAGAATGAACATTTAGTAATTTTTTAAGTATTTATTAATCTTGCTCTCAGTCAATAATGAATTTAAAACAAACACATACTTGACCAACTTTTACTAAAATGTTTGTTGACTCTCTAGTTTTTCTCTGATATACTTTTTCGCTAATTTATATATATATATATAAAATATGTAGAATTTTTCTCTAATATAGAAAAGCTTCTCTTACCCTAAACAAATATATAATATAATATGTCATATGCCCTTTACATAGCATAAAAATGCCTCATGTATGTTACTGACTTCCTGTACTCAGTCATCCGATAATGAGCTAAGAGCCAGAAATAAGGAAATCCAATAGTAAGTGATAGTGAAGAAATAAAGTAGAAAATCTCTGCCCTGTATATCTTAATGTAATCCTGTTTCTACTCTCTTATCCAGTGCCAGAGCCAATATACATGACTCCCAAGATCATCAGGGCAATGGTAAAGAGGAGACTGTAAAGTATGTAATAGATTTAAGGATGGTGTCTCCATATTGTCAAGATTAGTTTTGCTGTTTAAAACCTATCTCAGAATAAAAAGGGCTGGAGATGTAGCTGATAAAAAGCACCCCAGGATTAAATCCCCAGCACCAAAAAAATATAAAGTAAGATGAAAATAAGATAATATTTTTATGTATAGGGGAAGATTCACCCCAAGTTTCTCAAGAGTACTAGATTTTAAAAATACTCCTAAATTATAGAAACATTATGATTTAATTTTAAGCAACAAAAATAAGATAGTTATTACTTCTTATGCCTTAAAATTAATAAATTATGAAATGAATTAGTGATCGTATCACCCCTCAAGACATTTTAGTAACATAAAATAAACCTGGATCCTGACCTACTTTTTTTAAATGACTGCTAATTTTCAGTGGTGTAGTGCTTTTGCAAAGTTGCATCTCTAATAATGATAATTATGACACCCATAGATTATCCTAAGGCTATATCCTGGTCTTCTTATGCTGTTGTAAAAAGTACTGTAGATAGACTGACTGGTTTAAACAACAGGAATTTATTGCTCACAGTCCTGGAGGTTGGAAGTTCAAGATCATGGTGTCATCATGGTGGGATTGTGGTGAGGGTTTTCTTCTTGGCTTACTGACAGTTACCTTCTTTTGTGTGCTTACATGGTCTTTCCTTAAACTATGTGCCTGAAGAAGAGGGGTGGGGGGAATGGACATGTGCACAATCTCTTTGGTGTCCTCTTGGCACAAGGTCACTCACTATTCCATCAAAGGAGCTCCAACCTCTTGACCTCGACTAATCCTTATTACTTTCCAAAGGCCCTACCTCCAAATGCCATCACAAGGTGGAGGGGAAGGTGGGGGAGGTTAGAGCTTTAGCATACAAATTTTGGGGGTGGTGGTAGTAAACATTCAGTCCATAACAGGCTGTTTAAAATATTTTAGAGCTCTGAAAAGCTTTGTAGAATTTAAAAAAAAAAATGGTTAGTAATCAACTTAAGACAAAGTTTGGGTCATAATTCAACAAAATCACGAAAGGAATTAGAATTTTCTTTTGAACTTATGCTGTATCCTGCAAATATAAATGCTCTTGAATTCTGTATGTAACATGAAACTATGAAGTATTTTGAAGACTGATTTGTTAGGGTTGCTGGTTGGTCTCAAATTGTCCTCCTAACTCTTTCCTTTGATGTCTGTTCCCTTTCTCAAAGCAGGAGCAACCATCAGGGTAACAGGTATCTGACTATTTATCAATCTTACATGTGCTTTTCATCTGTCTTAGCACATTAGATGTATGAATTTGTTGCTTCATACATCTAAAGTTTCACCCATTTTTAAAACCACCTGTCCACGTTAATGAATTCTATTATCATACCATAAACCTGTCTTTTCTTTTTCTTAGTATTTTGGATTTTTAGGAACCATTTTAGATGTTCTTGCTAATGCTTTATCATTTTTTTGCTTCTTTTTTATGAAAATTAACAAAACTAAACAGTGTAATTTCAAGAAAGTAAACTTTAGGTATATGAAAGCCTATTTGGCAAAATCACACTCATTGTTTTAACAATGACATAATTATGTAAACACAAAATTCAATTTTTTCCCTTAGCTTTCTTTTGGGAAGTATTTTTAATAGTTCTAGTAACAAAATTAGTTTCAGTAAGGAAGAATTGGTGATTTAGAAAGATAAAAGTTAACATTATAATAAGACTAATTAAAGATCCTTCCAACACCTTTCTCTAGAAATACCACTGGATTTAATGTTGTCATCACAAATCCTGCTTTGATTATAAATTAATCCTATGAATGAATGATGGTGTGGCTCTCATTGTTATTTCAAACTTGATTGGAAATGAGCTTCTATCAAATTATATTTAAACTTATTTTAAAATAAAAATTTTCAGTATATGAAAATAAAGAAATGTGTGTGTAGTATTTATTTGGCAGGTGCCTATAGTTGGTTCTAAGCTGTGCAAAGCATGAAGTTCTCCTTTCCTGTAATGTCTACATGGTAGACTGTTTTATCTGCCACAGGACAGTTTGTCCCAGTCCCAATCAAATATTTCCATTTTATTCTATTTATCACAAACAATCCAGAGATTATTAGTAATATAGAGTTAATGTAATTTTACAATGACTATAACTTTCCTGTCAACTCCATTTTCCTGTATAAGTCTGCTTTTCTCTAATACATGTAGAATACAGTTTAGTGTCTCATAACCCTTTGGTACAGATTTCTTGTCATATTAAGTTTGAAGAAAAATATACTTGTTCATTTAATTATAAACTATGTTCTGGGACCACTGAATAAAGGAGATATTTGAAAGTTATTCACTTAGGAGGTTATCCATATCATTTTCTCTTATGGGTGAACAGCTTTCCCTATTATTAAGCACTAAGCTAGTGTTTTTATAATATGCAATTACATTTTATAGGGTCTGCTGCTCTTTCCCCAGTGTATTTCATGAGAAGGTAGTTACTTTGATAGCTTTCTAAATTCCTTTTGACTAGTGCTCCATTTTGTTACATTGCAAGTCTTGAGTGAAATTCTCCCTTCCCTGTACTTTCCAACCTGGGATTTTGTTTTTCTTATCTTTGAATTTGGCATGAGTCAATATATCCAAGTCACTTATCCTAGTTTTATTAATTATATGGGCTTATTTTTGAAAATTAATAATAAAATGCCTGATGAACTAAGTTGCTCCTGAGGCCAGGATGATAGTTGTTTTCCTCATCGGGATAGCTTAATTTGCTCAGAGTCCCATGACTAGGCTCCACTCCAACCTAGCTATTTTGTGAAGAAGGCACAAAGAGATTTAGGGGAAAAGTATAAACTTTGCATGACCATAAAATAATTCTGGCTGGGTACGGTGGCACATGCCTGCAATCCTAGCACCTTGGGAGACTCAGGCAGGAGGATTGCAAGTTCAAAGCCAGCCTCAGCAACAGCGAGGTGCTAAACAACTCAAACAACTCAGTGAGACTCTGTCTCTAAATAAAATACAAAATATGGCTGGGGATGTGGCTCAGTGGCCAGGTGCCCCTGAGTTCAATCCCCAGTACCAAAAAACAAAACTAACATCCTTAAAGTCAAATTTCTATAGTAACAATTTTAAATGAAAATATTTTTAAAAGAACAATGAAACCACATCATCCTTATAGATGGGTGTTGGAAGTTTATTATATAGTTTTATCATAAGTTCTGAATATGGGTTTCTTAAGTTTGTATTAAAAAGTGAACTATGTATAAACAAATTTGATAATTCTATCTCTTACCATTTCAAAAATTACATGAATGAAATAAATTATATCAAATTTCTTTGAGATTTAAATAAATGAATTTAATGAATAAGAGGATTTATTTACAAATAAAGAATAAAGTTTATAAAGAATAAGATTTTAACATATTCCATGCTTGTATAATTATATCCAAATGGATTCTGTCATGTATAACTAAAAAGAGCCAATTAAAAAATAATAGCTTAGCTGTTTCCATCTTTTTAAAACCACCAGAGTAACAAACTACACAAAGTTACTTTTTAATTTCTAAATTTCTATGCTTGCTTCCCCACACATAAAAAGGTAATAATAATTGAAACAGAATAGGTGTTATTAATAAATATAAACTGATTATTCACTGTTCTCTTTCTTTTCCAGGTAAAAACAAATGGAATCTCTGGCATCAAACAAGAACCACCATTAAAGAGTGACCCATTTGAAGATCTTTCATTTAATCTGCTTGCTGTATCAAAGGCTCAGCTCTCTGTTCAAACATCACCTGTCCTAACCCCAGACCCAAAGAGGTTGATTCAGTTGCCTTCTGCAACACAAAGTAATGTCAGTACTTTGAGTTCTGTAAGTTGCATGCCAACACTGCCTCCAATTCCAGCCCGGAGTAACTCCCAGGAAAACATGCGAAGTTCTCCAAACCCATTTCTTACTAGCTTGACCAGCACAAACCCTTTCACTGACAGGACTGCTGCTCCTGGAAACCCATTTAGAGTCCAATCTCAAGAATCAGAGGCAACTTCATGGCTCTGCAAAGAAAAGCCTATTATGGACAGTCATTTCCCTTCTCTGATGCCTGTTGGTCATAACACAAGCATGCCGTCAACCTCACTCGATGGTTTTAAGGACAGTTTTGATCTGCAGGGCCAGTCCGCAGTAAAAACAAGTAACCCAAAAGGATGGGTAACCTTTGAGGAAGAAGAGGACTTTGGTGTGCAGGGGAAGTCAAAGTCAACTTGTCTAGACTTGATGGATAATCAGCCAGGTTCATTTGATGAAGACTGCAAGAAAAGTACAAATGTTTCTTTCTGTGTGTTGCCATCCAGACCTCCACCTCCACCTCCAGGCCCTCTGCTTCCCCCCAGCACCAGCCCTCCCACAGATCCTTTCATATCCTTGGCATCTAAGGTTTCTCACATACTGGACTCTACAGAAAGATAATGTTATACTATAGAGAAGGGCTTTGTGTTTTTTGCTGTTTTGTTTTTAGTTTTGGCAGGACAGAACCAAAAGAATTGGGCATTAGTCATTCACTGTGTGCAATAAGAATTTTTAAGTGCACTGATACCCTCTTAAAGTACCACTATTTTATGTGTACAAAGTTGGAATATGTGTATATTGGAAATAAGGAAAAATCCTTCTCATTATAAACTGGAGTTTTGATATGTTGAGACAGCAGTAGCCCGAAAAAGTACTTAAAACTACCTTTGAAAATAGTCCTTATTCAGAAATTACTCATCAATCTTCTCTGGAGAATCTAAAAAAGTCCATACAACTTTTACTGGAATCATGCTAGCCCTTTCATACTCTTGAAAATTGGTATTCGTGAGTATTTACCAAAGACTGCCAAAGTTATATTGAGACAGTTTTGAAAGGCATTTAACAAAAAAAGTGTATATGTATATGTGTATGTGTGTATATACATATACACACACATATATAATCTACATATTAATAAAACTATTAAATTTTAGTATATAACTCAGACCAAATTTTACCTAAACGTTCTAACAGAGTCCTTTTTTCTGTATCATTACCAAAAAGATGACTGCAAATTTGGATGTTTCATTAATTTTCTTCCCCAAACTAGAATAATCTCACTTCACAACCCGACCCTTCAAATACATACACCCTTATTACTTTCCACATGTTTCTCTCTGGGAGGAGGTTCTTACAGCTGACAGCAGCATGTTTTATGGTCAATCATGTGGCCAGATACTCTAGCACTCTCCAAAAAGTACCATGGCCTTATATTTAGGGAAGGCATATACCGCGGAGTTCAATGTAAATGTACTCTCGTCTCTCTGCACATTAGGGTATATGTTGCTTATTTCCCTCCACACTTTTCTATTTGCTGCTTTTGCTCTGGAACTTTGCTTTTGGTAGGGAAAGCAGCTGTCCCCCGAGTACTCTGAATTGGGGATATCCCAGTCTATGTTTTCTCCCCCTTACAAGGCTACATAACACATTTTTGCTGCTTTTTTAGAGGCTATACCTCAAATTTGCTGTGGATTTTGTCTCCTGCACTGCCAGTATGCAACTAATCTGCTTTTATTGATTTTATGAAGTACACAGAATTTTTACAGAATGTAGTATTTTGATATCATTAAGTGAACCAATCAGAAAACTCCTTGAGCAATAGTTGTTTTGTGATTTGAGTTAAAATCATCTTTGCCCATTAAGATTTATATTAACATTCTTTTATATATAAAGAGTTGCATATGTCCACCTAAATTCCTATGTCCACATTTAATCTTTAAAGATGTGCTTCGGGAGAATACAAAAAAATAGAGTTGATAGCTAAGAATATTTAAAGTGTAAAAGCACAGCAAACTGCATTGCACTTAAAACATAAATCTATAAGGAAAAATCACTTTTCTAAATGCTCAAATGTTATCAAAATACTTTATTTATAGAAGTGATCCTCTCTGTTAACAGCCAGGATTTGCTGTTAGAAATAACTTGTTTTATATTGTGCTTTTGGGGGGTTCTGATCATTTCAGCAGTAGTATCTTTGAAACAGCAGTATTACTATAAGCTGTGTGCTTCAAAATGTGAATGGATTTGTTGAACTGTGGCTTTAAATCTATGTGACTAGTGTACATGGTATTTGCTCTCCATTAGCAAAATAATACATTGTTAGGTAAACTTCACTAGTGCCAATTGCAGTTCTGTGAGCAGTGTTTCCTATTGGATATAAACTACTGTCTAAAATATACATATCAGCAGCAGCCTGGTCTTGTCAGGAAAATTATATTTGGCAAGTTGCTAAAAAATGCACAAAGTTATGAAAGTTAAAGGTATGCTGCAAATAACTAGCCGTTATTCTGTGTATTATTAAATATTTACTGGTTCTGTTCAAAGCAGAGCAGAATTTAGACACTAAGAATCTCTTTGTGAATTCTTTGTTCTCTATAGTAGATTGCTGTTTATATGTATGTAAGAATTTTATTGCTTATGTGGCATACAATATTTATAACTATATACTTTATAGAAGTACCATATTAAAGTCAGTGGTATACAGATATTCTGTATATATCCTGTGAAATGTGCTGTCATATGAAATAAATATACCTGTCTTTACCATGCTGACTACTTTGCTCAAGAGGGAAGAATTTTTCTCAACCATTTTCCATGTACTTTCCATATATGTTTAGTGACATTTGGAGAAAATAGGTTAGCTCCTATTACAAAATGAGGTATTTTAACTCAAGACATTATTTTCATTTATTTCATTTCTCCATATACTGCTTACTCTTAACAAGTAGGAAGACAGATTTTCTGGGTCATTAAGAAACCCTTGCATTTATTCTGTAAACAAGCCTTCGTTCAAAATTTTGTTGGTTTGAAAATAATACATGAATGGATTATTTTTGACCCACAGCAGAAGAAACAACAAAGGAATCAGGACATGAATAGCCAGACAAAAAGACAAGTCCCAAACACAAATTTAGAGACCATGGCTAGTAGTTTTCCATGAGTTTGCCCTTGTGTAGTCTGATTTGATGATATTCAAAAAATAACTTTGTTTCCTGTGGGAGGCCATCCTCGCACATGATTTGAGTTACCTCTGGCTGGGTGAGAGGCGCTTAGACACAGCTGTGTCAGAGCTATTCCCCATCCTTTTCCAGGTTCAGAGGCGTACCTGGCCACTGCCCCGAAGAAGACCAATCGTGGCCCCTGACCTTGGGATGCTGCCCCCCTAACCTTCATTGGATGGGAATTTCCCTTGAATTTTTTGTTCCCCAATAAAAGCCCACTCCCTGGCGTGTTCTCTCTCTCGCTAGCCTCTTCAGTAAACCTCGTTACCGCATTAGGAGGCTGGAGGCCGGAGCTAGGAGAAGCAGTCCTGGAGCTGGTATTAAAGGTAATAAGAGTCTTGTCTCTTTAATTTAAAACTCCCTAGCATTTACTCATGAATTGAACCTTCTTTCATGAAGCCAGCGCTGGTCACATGGCAGAAGTGGCACCCAGAAGTGAGGCATAAGTAAATATGACTATGTTGAGTTAGGGAGCACGCTATAGAAATACGGGATTTGTGACATTTTTAGGGTCACGGAAGTACCAGGCAGTTTTTGGAGCGAAGGGTCGTTAAAAAATTTTAATAATGGGGAATTCAACTTCTGATAAAGACATGTATTTGACTATTTTAGAGACAATAATTAATCAGAAGGGAAAGCAAGTTAAAAAGACTCGATTGCTACAATTCTTAAACATTGTAGGTGAATTTTGCCCTTGTTTTTGCGACCAAGATTCACCAAATTTACCTAAATGGGATAAATTAGGAAGGAAATTACATAAAATTTGCCTTTCTAATGAATTACCTGGAAACTTTGAGAATTTTCAAAAGGTTTAGACTGCATTAGAGATTTGTCTTTTTGATTATATGGTCCATAGTCTGGGGCCCCCTGAAGATCTATTGAAAGATATTCAGAGAGCCATTAAGTCTATTCAAATGGAAAAATTGCCTGAGGCTAAGGAAATCTCCTTTCCTCTAAGCCAGCTAAAAACAAAGCTAAGACAAATTATATTCAAACAAAAAACCTCGGGCAAAACCAAAAGTAAAAAACTTAGCTTTGCATGAACCGAACCAGAAACCAGAACCAGAGTAATCTGGAGGAAGACCCTAGAGAGGAAGCCTGGGGGGCGGGGAGGGGGGGGTAGAAGATCCTTCTCCCGGAGAGGAAAATCCGGAAGAGATTCATAGAGAGATAGAAAGTCCTCCTCCACATGGCTTACAAGCCCAGATTCAGCATGGCAATGGGAGAATCTATGGAGGAATCGCAGTCTGAGGGAGCAGAATCAGGGAATTTCAACAGGCTGTTCTTAATAGCACCTGCCCCAGCCATTCGAATTCGGCCACTGTCTGTTAAAAGAACAAATTTTAACAGATACTCTGAGCTGGCAATGACTTTCTTACTCCGTTCCAGCAGGTAATTAGGAAGGCTCAGGAAGCTGGGGAAGATACTAGCAAATTGCAGCTCTTCCCAGTTTTTGAACAGGTTAATAATCAAGACTAGTGTGTTCGCATCCATGCGGTAATTCCTTATAAAACTATTTTTAAAAGAGTTAAAAAACGCCTGGGAGGTCTACGTTCCAAATTCACCATTTATGCAGAGCTTGCTTGAGACTGTTTGCTCTCAACTGCTCCCACCGAGTGACTGGATTTCCATCGCCAGGACTTGCTTGAGTGGGGGGATTTTCTACTTTGGAGGTCAAACTGGACAGACTTTTGTTCCGAGCAGGAGCATCCCCTACTGGAAATTAAAATTAATCATAAAAAGTTCAAAGGTGTAGTGGACACAAAGTCAGTCCTGTCTAGTCATTTCTGGCCTAAGAATTGGCCCTTACATATAGCACCAGCTAACCTAGAGGGAATTGGACAAATCTCACAGCCTTCTCAAAGTGCAAATTATCTCCTATCTCCATTGGGAGGATCCTGATGGGACCAATGGAGTTTTTAAAACTTATGTGTTAGAGTCCTTACCAATAAACCTATGGGGAAGAGATATATTAAGCAAAATAGGATTATTATTAGTAACTCCAAATTCTATGAGATGATTTGAGGAAATTAATCAAGGGATTCTTCCTGGAGATAATGAGGGAACTTATCAGGGAGAGTATCTGCTTACAAACCAGTCTCCTCAATAGAGATTAGTAAATACTCCAAACCAAAATTTTTACTAGGGACCCTGAGTGTTTCCCTGATCCAAAAGATAGCAGAAAAGATCACATGGCTCACAGAAGAGCTTATATGGATTTCTCAGTGGCCCATCTCAGGGGAAAAACTTAAGATAATTCATATGTTAATTGAGGAACAACTTCAGGCTGGTCATACAGAATCAATGCTTAGTCCTTGGAACACCCCCATTTTTGTTATTAAGAAAAAGTCAGGTAATTGGAGGTTACTACAGGATTTAAGGGCAATAAACCATGCAATTCAGCCTATGGGATCATTGCAGCCTAGACTATCTTCCCCCATAGCAATTCCTTTAAACTATAGCTTAATGGCAATAGATCTAAAAGATTGTTTTTTTCTCAATAAGGTTGCATCCTGAGGATTGTGAAAAATTTGCTTTCAGTGTCCCAACAATTAATTTTAAAGAACCCTTAAAATATATAACTGGAAGGTCTTGCCTCAAGGGATGCGTAATAGTCCTACTTTATGTCAAAACTTTGTGGGTCAAGCGATAGCTCCTATAAGAGATAACTTTCCTGATGCATATATTATTCATTTTATGGATGATATATTATTGGCTCATGCTAATCCAGAAGTACTTTCAGAAATTTTTACTCAGAGGCTTCACTTACAGCAATGGGTTTGTGCATTGCTCCTCAAAAGATACAAAAGATGCCTCCCTTTCAATATTTAGGTCAGATAATTCAAGGATGTACAATACGTCCTCAAAATCTACAGATAAAAGTTAAGGAATTACATACCCTTAATGACTTTCAAAAATTATTAGGAGATATTAATTGGCTGAGGCCATCCTTAAAACTAACTACTTCTGATTTAAGTCCTTTATTTCAGATATTACAAGGAAATCCTTCTCCTGAAAGACCTAAGCAATTTCATTCTGCTTGGGATCTTATTTTGCTCTGAAACTTAACCTCTGACTTATTGTAATCCTAAAGTCAAGAAAAAAATCTACAGAAAAGCTCTGTGGAAACAGTTCAGTTCTTGGAAAAGCTGGAAAAGCCGCAGATAGGCCAAGATAACCACATATCTGAAATTCCAGATGGCTTCCACCTAGGTGTGGTGACCAATATCTAAACTAGAAGCCCTGCAGTTTGGCACGTACTCCCCTTGCGACATCCTCACAGTTTAAACCAATCAGTTTAAATGAATCCCCCTCTTATAGTGACCAATCCCTCCTACCCAACTTGTTCCCACCAGTGAATGTGCTAATCATGTTTTAGACTTGTTATTTGATTTTCCCGTGGTGTGTGATGATTTGCTAGGAGATGCTATGATGTATGTGGAGGTCCCTGCCTTCTCCAAAGAATGTATAAAACTGCTGCAAAACCTGGGCTTGGGGCCTCTTAGAGTCACCTGTTGCTGTGTATGTGCAGAGGACCGAGCTAGCTCACAATAAACATCTCTTTGCTGCTTACATCGATCTTAGGTCTCTGGTGGTCTTTTGGGGGTCCTGAATTCGAGCATAACACTCTAACCTCTCCACATTAGCTGACAATAGAGGCTAGCTTTTAAAAAGGTTGAAAGTGCAATTAAAAATGCACAGCTTACTAGAGTTAATCCAAAGAACTAGTATATTTATTAATATTTCCAACTGTACATATCCCTATGGGAGCAATATGGCAAAGATTGGGAGTTATTGAGTGGATTCATTTAGCCCACTCTCCCCAAAAGACATTAATTCCTTTTCATGACTCTATTGCTCAATTAGTAATTAAAGGTAGAAGGAGAGTTTTACAATTAATTGGATCTGAACCTGATATTATAATTATTCCATTTTCTGTTCAACAAAATAATTGGCTTTTTCGAGCTTCTAGTTTATGGCAAATAGCTTTTGTTGATTTTCCTGGTCAGATAGAAAGTCATTACTCTCATGATAAAATTATTCAATTTGCATCAATAACACCGCTTATTTTTCCAAAGATTGTACGTGCCCAGCCCATAGATGGAGCCCTCTTGGTGTTCACTGATAGTTCAAGCTCAGGTAAAGTAGGTTTTTTAAAAAAAATTTATTTTTAGTTTTCGGCGGACACAACATCTTTATTTGTACGTGGTGCTGAGGATCGAACCTGGGCCGCACACATGACAGGCGAGCGTGCTACCGCTTGAGCCACATCCCCAGCCCCCAAAAGTAGGTTTTTATAGCCATGTTCACACAGAGGTAACAGAAACCTCATATACTTCTGCCCAAAGAGCAGAGCTGCAAGCTCTCATTTGTGTCTTAAATTACTTTACAAATGAGCCTATTAATATTTATTCTGAAAGCTTATATGCAGTCAGAGTTTTCAAAAACATTGAAACTTCAGTTATTGGATATACCTCATCACAAGAGCTATTTAAATTATTTCATAATCTACAAAAGGCAGTACAAATGCGAAAATACCCATGTTTCATA